GGAAAGCTCTGAGTAAAGAGTACATAGTATCTTTTCCTCTCCTTTTTTTTTGGGGGGGGGGGCGGTGCGGGGTGCGGATGGTGTCTCATTAATTTGCCCAGGCTGGTCTCAAACTCCTAAGCTCAAGTGTTCCAATTGCCTCAGCTTCCAGAATAGCTGGGGCAACAGGCATGTGGTTCTATAGTATTTCTTACAGAAATAGAAACTGACAGGTAGGACATAATTTTGAAAAACCAAAACTTTATTTTCTAAACCCAAGTAAGTTCTTGGAAATAAAGCTCTTTCCAAATAGGACCAAATACTAAATATTCTCATTTTGAAAGTTTTATTTCTTATAACTTAGAATTGTGTGAACCTACAATTATGTCTACATAAAAAATTTATAATTTGTATATGTTGGTTTAAATTTTACATTAATTTCAAAACTATCCTAGGCAATCACATATCTTCTCTAATTTTCTATGAGGGCAATAAACACCAAATTGTAAATTTAGCAATGATATAACCAGAAGGTGGCGCTGTTACTACATGAATATACCACAGTAAGACACTATTAAATGTACCAAAATATACAAAGATTTAATCAATCAGAATTGTAAATGCTAACCTCAAATCAGCAATATTCTCAATGTGTGTCTTGAGGTTTAAAACATACAGTTCACATGAAATATTTAAAAAATAGACAACATACACAAATCCTATATGGACTAACCCATAGATCTGGTATTAAGCTGTGATATCTTTGCATTTTTGATACAAATATTTCTTGCCTTACCAACTGTTAACAGAGCTTTTGATAAAGGTACAAACACCACTTACAGAAAATTCCTGAACTGCAACTAGAAGTGTAAGAATTGCTAAGAAAGGGATCTCCTTTTTGTTAAAGCAAAAATGTTTACAACTTTTCCTTCTTATTTTGGGTTTAGGACAAAAACATTAAAAATACTTTTCAAAGGAAAAAAAGTAAGTTGCATCAGTTAATAATTACCAAGACATAGATAGCTTTTATCCAATTCCATTTTACATAACATAGAAAGTGAAGTTCCAAAACACAGACACTTGCCTCAATTCAGATATGGCAGAACTAGAGTGGAAGACAGGTCCCAGGATGCCTGGTCTAAGACAGCCATTATATTCAGACCAATGAGACACTAGGCAAAAAGAAACTTTTAATGCAAAAGGCAATACTTTTGTTTGAACTATGTACTGTTACCCTAATTCTACTAGTCAAACTAGTTTAGATTTTTTTAAAAATGGACAAAATGTGTCCAGGAGTAAGCTTTAAATAAAAATTATGCATCCATACAACACAGCCACTTATTTGGAGCAACATCGACAAGACCACAGCAGCAGTGGACAAACACGACGGCAACTATCAGGTGTCCAAGACCCAATGGGAAAGAGAGAAACAACTTGGAATATGAGTCACTTTCAAGGAAGCAGGCTCCTGGACAAGTATGACTGAAATTGTTACCCAGGCTATTATCATCTCCCGTGGCTGGTGAGAACAAGAAAACATGGGTTACACGTGCAAGAGCACGTTTTTTTTTTCTTCTTTTTGTAAAATTTTGAAATTTTTTTTTTTTTAAGACTAGTCAAGTGCAGTAGTGTGAAGGGGGGAAAAGGGTAGAACAAGGAGTTTGTCGGAAATAATTCAAAGCTCTTCCTAAATAGAACCAAATACATGTTCCCCTTTTTGAAGTGCTGAGCATGCTGCAACAAAGGGGTAACAAACATAAATGTATCCATGATCCACGGCCTAAGAGAACTACAGAAAACCTTACAGGCGAAGCGCTGACACAACCCCAAGATCCTTGCATTCTAGGGCAAATGTGTCCCACCAATTTGTAGGAGCAGCATGTTAGAACACATACACCAAGTACGTTAAGCTGCTGTTTCCCCAAGTCGTTTGACTCAACAGAGGTTTGAGGGGCTAAGATGAAGAAAGCATTTCACACAACAAATGGCCTTCAGAAAGAGACTGAGGAAAAACAAGAATACCAAGTCAATGTGTTTTGGAGAGGAGGTGTGGAATCCCATAGGTTATTAGGAAGCAACCTGGTATATTTGGCTAATTACTCTAGCTACACCCTGGGTATAGATCCTAGTGATACTCCCAAGTTCAGTGAGAAGCCAACAGTTGCAGCCTCCTTGCTAACATGCCCCATGGACCAGGCAAAGCCTCTTCCTTTCCAGAGTCTCAATCTATCTCAGTTAGCACTGATGGTGGGGGCTTGGCCTAAGATGTCATTCAGCTTTTGAGGAAAAAGTAACAGATCAAGATGTTCACTTTGATACTTAACCCTGCACAATGACAGGAATAGGGTAATCCAGGAGAGCCCCAACAGGATATGAATAGGTGAGCGGAGATACTGGTTCAAAGTCATTCCTGGCTGAATTTCAGAGGACGTGTGAACATACCAGGGAAAAGCAGCAGGATCTGACAAGGGTTTAGATACTACAAGCAAAAGACGGTATCTCAAATCTTGAAGGCAAGTTGCTTTAAGAAAAGAATATTCCAGAATTTCAAAAGTATGGTTTATGTAACAAAGCAAATAGGGATACACTTTTGTGTAATGTGTGAAGTCCACACATTGTACATTAATGTCTTGTCCTCACTCAGTGGAGAAGTACTGAAGCTTTACCTGTGCACCAAGCACTGCACTAGGCCCTGTATGTGGTGTTCACTGCAACAGACATGGGACGTTTATCACCAACAGGGAACGTTTCCAAGGAGCAGCCTCTAACACCTGGCATAGTTTATGAGTGCATCTCAACTGCCCGCCCAGAGATCAAGATGCTCTCTGCTCTGTCTTATATCAGGCCGTCTAAATAATCACCGAGCCCTATAAGCAGCCCAGATGATCCACACTATGCTCTAGGGCTAACATATTGTAATTTTGCTTTTGAGAACATGTCTTTTAATTTTTAAAAATGAGCAAGTTCATTCCCCTACCCAAAAAAAAAAAAAAGTTTCCTTCTATGATTTCACATGAAATGATGCCTTAAGAATTCAGTTCTGATGTTTCTTATTCTTGCAAAGATTACCAAATAATTAGTCTGTCTTTAAATATGTAAATTGAAGTCAATTAACCAAACACATCCCTAATCATTTTATTTACTTGTTCACACAAGAGCCGAATCAAACAAAATGAGAAATAAGTCAGAATAAACTCTGTGCAGTTTATTCTCAAGTCATTACAGTGTTCAACCAGTTTGACATATAAAGATAACAGACTTTAACAGTAAATGTTGGGAGGCACACATATATTCCCATTTTGAAAGAAGACATGTTATATATACAGAAAAAAAATGCAGCAAATATTAAGGTATTCAAAGTAATTTTTTTGAACTCAGATGTGACATATTTACCAGAAAAGTGTGTAAGTTTTAAAATAATTAAATAATTTCCATAGACTTACAAAAGAATTGAGATAAATATTAGGAGATCCTGACAATCAGAAGAACATTTTCCTATGCTACTGAACAAGGACAGTTCTATTTAAAAATGTCCCAAAATAGAGCTAATATTTTACCACCATGAAATATATCAAATTGCAAATACCAAAATATGCTAAAATGAACATGCAGTATGGAAGCTGTACCAAAATTAAACAGCATTAGGTTCTTAAATATTGCAAAGTGTCTATATCAGATTTCTCGGATGTGTTTATGAAAAAGAAACTTTCAAAAAAGCCATTATAGTGAATATATCAGCAGAAAAAGTGATAATTAAAATCTCTTTATCACTCTCAAATGTAGCTGCAAAAGAGAAAAAAATTTAACTTTAAAAAAATATTAGCTTATGAATAAAAAAGTTGAGTGGTATACTCTTTATGCATACAGATTTTTAAACGGATACTATATAATTCTAATAGAGCTTAACCTCTGGACCCCACTGTTGTAGTAGGAAATTTTTGTCTCAGACAAGAAGTCATCTTAGAAAATGAAAAAGAGAAATTTTCAGTGATATGTATGAATTCAAAACAAAACAGTACAGTAAAATGGCAAAATATAAAAATAGCAGCATGTGAAATTCAAGATTGTTTTTTTAAAGCAAATGTTTAAGACGGAACCACAAAAACAGTACTTATGGGCCAGGCGTGGTGGCTCACACCTGTAATCCCAGTACTTTGGGGGGCTGAGATGGGTGGATCACCTGAGGTCAGGAGTTCAAGACCAGCATGGCCAACATGGTGAAACTCCATCTTTACTAAAATACAAAAATTAGCCAGGTGTGGTGGCATGCGCCTATAATCCTAGCTACTGAGGATGCTGAGGCAGGAGAACTGCTTGAAGCCAGGAGGTGGAGGTTGTAGTGAGCTGAGATCACGCCACTGTACTCCAGCCTGGGCAAAAGAGTGAGACGCTGTCTCAAAAAAAAAAAAAAAAAAAAAAAAAAAACCAAACCAAACAAAAAACCAGTATTTACTCAAACTGGTCTATAATTCAACACCAGAAATGAAGAATTCTTTAGAGAGGTGCTTAGATCTATATGCCCATGATTAAATGTATTCCCAAATTTGTTTTCTTTAAAACACACATATTGCACAGGTAGTAGAATACCAGCATTCTGGTATCTCTAACATAAAATGCTATCTTATTTAACACATTAAACTATTCTACGGAAAATTAATTTTATCTCAATGTTTAAAACCAGTCATGTAGGAGGACTTTTTAGCATATGAATCTCAAACCATTCCTAAACAAGATGAAAAAACACAGGCACTTGAATCTAGGTTATCAGTGACAAAAAGGAGGTCACAACAATTTCATGACTAAGGGCAGTTACATCTTTACATATAAACTTGAGGTCTTTCACCGATCCAAATATAGAAATAAGAACTATTTACAAAACTTTTATAAGAAAATCAGATCTCCCAAAAATTTCCTACCAAATAATTTTTGCTGAAGAAAGCACTGACTGCTCCAAGGCCTGATTAAGCTTTTTCAAACAAACATCTAAGACGGAGTTGTTTGAATTCTAGTTTTCCCCTTTTCTCTACCCCAGTATAACCCACAACCCTTACTGTTGGTCGAATAATATCCTCTTTGCAAAATTTGCAACTCACCTCAAGATTCAGGGCATCAAAAATGGTTGTAATTGCAACATAGTCCACACTGCAGTATAAATTTTACAGCACCACAGACATCATGAGTTTAGGTATCTTGGTCTGGCAATATTTCATTTGGTAATAGTGATCAATAAGGATGTGTAATATTGAACATTTAATCAGATGTCATAGTAGCATTTTTTAAATGACCAAAGTAATTAATCAGCATTTTTCATGTTTTAAGTTTTAAACATTTAAACTGTCAAAATCACTAGGAAAAAATATTACACACACATTGTTACTACCCAAATGAGAACACACAATGCTTCAGACAGATGACACTGAGATATTTTGGATTTTTCCTTTTCCTTTCTTTTTAAAGAAATTATATTTAGTTTGGCCACTCCCTAGATTCTTGGTTTACCAGCTTATAAAGAATACACCTAAGAGGCAGTATAACATCCACACTAAAAACCATTTCCCCCTTTATCATCTTTGGCTAGAAGCCTCACCAAAGGAAACAGGAGGCAGAGGCAGGCAAGCTCCATGCTCATCTGCCTCACACATCACTGACCGGGAGGCTCGCATCATCCAAGTCTACTAGGTCACAATCTTTTTCCTGAGGGCCATTTTTACTTTGAGGTTTTAACAGAGCTTGTTCAGTCACTTTGGAAGCTGGTTCTCTTGGAGAGACAGTCTGGACCTTGAAGTTCCCTGGCTTGACCTTGGCAAGAGATTCGTAAAATCCTCGCTTCTCCATGGTAAAGCTTGAGACCAAAGAGTTGCTGCGAGAGGCTGTGGAATGTGAGGTGGTGGCGGCTGCGATGGCGGGACGGAAAGCGTGTTTGGATTCTGAAGGGCCGGTGGGATGCTCCTGCAAAAAGGAGTGGCAGTCAGACACAGTCCATGACTACTGACCGGGTTAGTCACTCAGTGTGAGACTTGATCCTCTGAAAAACAAACAAAACACACACACACACACACACACACACACACACACAAAGCACAAGCAGAGGCCATGCAGCATAAATGTGCAAGTTCTTTCCCAAAGCAATGCATTTTTAGAGGTGAGTTTAAAGCGATGATAGCCAAAAACCATTTCCACTAGGAAACCAGCTCCGTCACCAAAGCTGAATTTGGCAGCCTATGACACTTTGAAGATTCAGCCAACCTAAACTGAAATATAGTGTTCCAGCTGCAACTGAACTGTGTTTAAAAGAGAACCTCCCAGCTGTATCATTTAGAGTATATTCTCAGTCAAAACTAGGAATTATCCCACATATTTTAGAAAGCAAATATAGACTATGACAACGAAAGGCCATATTTCTTTAATAAGCATGAGTCAACATCTTTCAAACATTATTTTGCTGATAAAACTTAGATTTTCCTTCCCTGTATTTCACTGCAACCAATAATAGCACAGTCTTTTCATTTTTTATTTAATTTTACTTCTGAATAGGTCATATATTCCTATGGCTTAATATTTTAAAGGTAACAAAGGGTACACATTTAATCATATTTTAAACTGTGGTGAAATAATTATCAGTTGTAAATGTTAATTTCAATGTGCTTCAAAATAGATCGATTCTGAAGATATCCTTAAATATGGCCATTCTAAATACACTGCTATATACTAGCATTTTATATTCCTTTATACTAGTGGCTTTGAAAACAAAGTGCTACAAATTACCAAAACACTATAGAGTCCTATTAGATGGCTAAATTTCAGAGATTTTTAAATGCCATGCAAACTATAGTAAGGTACAGTTTATCTAATGCATATGCATGCATTAGTTTGCATATATTATTAGAACAATGGTGCATTTCGTAAGTGTTGTAGTATTTTAAAAATCTTAAAGTACATAAAAGAAATTGAAACTCTTGCAGCAGTTCAGTATATTAATTTTTATACGTTAATGTCTTTCTGTTAGTAAAGTTGTATGTTTTAATTTTTTCTTTTTATATATATATATATATATATATATATATCTCCAATCTGATGACTACAGTGAAACAGTTTGCGTTAGTATTGACAAAATCAGTTACAATGACTGCAAAAGGCAGTTTGGTTAACTCAACTTTCTATGATCAGTTGTAAGTAGTGAGTAAGTCTGGGCCCTCCACTAAGAAGGCACGTTTGCGTGAGAGCCCACATACGTGCTGCATTCACCAGTTCTTGATGTATACCTCTGTATACAAGGGTTCGACAGCCTTCTGGCCTGCCGCATCTGGAACACAGTGCAAAGCTAAGATTAGAGTTAACCTATACTGGGTAGAGGGAGGAAAAGAGAAAGTTCTGCTGACAGTCATAGCTAGATAGTCTAATTTGCCCCCACCAGAAAGCACAAAACACAAACATCCTTCTCCAACTTTTCCTCTTCCCAACAGACATTGTTTTTGCAGAGAGTCTCATACTTGACTGCTGAAAAAGTCACATAAAATACAGGCAGTTACAAAATGAACATCTATGAAAATGATTTCTTGGATATTTCAAAAAGGATATAAAGAGAATGACTTAACAATTAAGAAATCAGAAACATTAATTTCTATTTATCTGTCGTTACTACTACCAGAAAATAAAAGGCAGTAAATTATAATAGTATCAGAAAAAAATATTAAAAGTATAAGTATCTATCATATATATCATAGTAAATCTAGATAATAAAGGCTATCATGCTACGGACAAGACTATTTTCTGCAGATGGCAGTGTTACATTTTAACATACTTTGAATTTTCAGATCTGAGATCACTGGCCAAAGTATTCCAAAGCCAAATCTAATTCTTATGTACTTGAACATAATAAAAATCTTTTTAAAAAATATTTCAGAGTAGAACGTGTATTTGTATTTCAATTTTATTATCATACTGCCACAGAGATAGTTATGGTGGTTTTCAGAGGCAGACTTTTCAGGCAGGTTTTAAAATGAGAGTGAAAACATGAACTGGAAACCCTGGGAGCACTGAACTGCATTTAAGGTCCCAGCTGCTCAGAGAGCTTACGGCATGGTGAAGCCAAAGGTAAAAAACAAAACAAAAAACCTCAACTGAAATCAGAGGAAGTAAAGTGGAACTCAAGGTGTTCACAAAACTGTGTAATGCTACAACTAAAAGTCTTAATGATCAGGCCACACACCATACTAAGCATCTGTCAAATTATGCCAGATCTAGACCTACTGACAAGTAAGAACTCCTAAGACAAAGCAAGGAAACGTTCATTCTTTAGTTGCCCTGCTTGTGCATTTAACACAATACAATTCACAGAAAGTTATATATATATATATGTAACACTACAAGGAAGCATTAAATTAAAAATGCATTATTTTTTGGAAGTCCAATTGGTATAAAAGTCAACACGCAAATAAATCTCAATAAAGAAAGAAACCAGATGGATTGCAGGAAGGAAAACAATGCGACAGGATGGGGGACACAAGGGAGTATCGCCCCAGAGAGCAGGAAACCTACAGAAGATGCAGATCTGCCGGGCCCCCGCTGCGCTACAATGGCGCCAGAGACGGCTTTAATCCAGCTGTGCATCTCTTCAGGGCTATCAGCCTAAAGGAAAACAGATCTCATTCAGTCAATTTTTCCTCAAAATCAGCTTCTACTTTTATAAAGCCCATGTATTTATTTTGATAATTTAAATACTATCACCAACAAAATCACTCTAAGGCAATTGTTTTTAAAAAAAAAAAAAAACTGAGAAATCATTTTTTAAGAACAGGTTTTGCTAAATCTTCACAGAGACATAAATTGAGCACTTCGGTGTCAAGATCAGACCCCCCAAAAGGTGTCAATGAATATCTCCAGAGAGAAAACGAGAAGAGGAAGTCAAAGAAAACCCTTCTTATTTCACTCTACCACTAGACCACCTGAATCTGCTACAAGATTTATGTAGTTGCACAATTTTTTAAAATTCTGACATTATTTTACATACTATTTTTCTGGAAATAATTTCTAGTAGTACCCTAAATCCTACAACAAGTATTGACAGATAAGTCTGGCTTTAATGTGAATTTTAAATCTTACTATGAAATTAAATCCAATTAAATAAGGCCCCAAGTGGGGTTACAGAGATACCGTCTCTTGCTTCTATATTCTAGAATCTGTTATGTGGGCAGCAATAGCCGCCATTTTGTGATCTGTTGCGGTTTGCACAAGTTTCAGTTTCTGTTTCCCCGCTGCAGTAAAGTTTCAGTTTCTGTTTTCCTGCCAATAAGTTTCAGTTAATGTTTCCTGTTGACAAGTTTCAGTCTTTGTTTCCCCCACTGATGAGTTTCAGTAAAGTTTCAGTTTCCTGTTTTCCCCACTGATAAGTTTCAGTAATGTTTCAGTTTCTGTTTCTCCAAATGTTTCAGTTTCTGTTTCCTGCTGGTAAGTTTCAGTTTTTGAAACTTAAGGAAGGCCGGAATTTCCCAACTGCAAGCTTCCTTTGCCCCGCCTCTCTGCCTGTGCCTATTTAAGCTGTGAGCTTAGCAACGATAAACGAGACTTGATCAGACTCCTGTCTTGTCTCCATTCTTCGTGTCTCCTGCACATCCATCCCCACTCTCTCCCTTCGAGCTCCTGTTGTTGTCCTGCAGGTTGGGACAGTCTGGCGCCCAACGTGGGGCTCGAAGTAAGAGGGACACCGTGAGGGACGTCGTCGAAGCTGGCGTCGAAGGAAGGAAGAAATCCAGAGAAGGAGTCACCATGGGAACCTGCTGTGGCCTTGCTCTCTGGTAAGTGGGCGACGATATTATGGGTCAGGAAATAAGTCAGCATGAGTTGTTTGTAGAAGGACTCAGCAAAGCATTAAAGACACGAGGAGTAAAGGTGAAAGTAAACCGATTAATTAAATATTTTGATTATATTAAGGGCATTTGCCCCTGGTTCCCTCAAGAAGGAACCATAGATCAAAGATGTTGGAAAAGAGTAGGGGATGCCCTAAAAGATTATTATGATGCTTTCGGGCTTCAAAAGGTCCCTGTAATTGCTTTCTCATACTGGAATCTGATAAATGAGATCATTACCCCAAAACATGATGATCCAGTTATTGCTAATCTCATAACCCAGGGGGAAACTTGCCTGAGAGACTCATGCAAAAATTTGTCTGATAAAAGCCCCCCCTTAAAAGAAAATTCGTTAGTTTTAGAAAAACCAGAACCCAAAGAGGGCAAGGAGAAAAAGTCAGGGGAAGCTGACTTAATGTCATTTGATAGCAACTCTGGTAAAGAGGAACAAAAACCCGCAGAAAGCGGTGGGCCTGTGTGTTCCTTAGAGAAATTTGCTGAACGTGTAGCCACAGGCCTTAAACAAAAATTAGCTAATCCAAATTATCGAAAGAGGACTGTATGGCTAGCCAGTCGAGCCAATAATTCAGAGGACGAAGGTATTGATTGGGATGATCTTGAGGATGAAGCGGCTCGATACCAAAATTCTGTGATCTGAGTTGGATATATTTGAAGGTATTTTGAAAGTTACGTTCAAGGCTAACACCTGAGCTTTGTGTAGTGTAAATAAGACCTTGTGTTTATGAACCTTTCAGCTAATTTGCTTTTTTTTTCCCCTTACATGCCAAGTGATGTTCAGGTTTTGAATGTTTTTGTATCAGTTTTTTCCTTTGTAAATGGCATTAACATTGTTACTTGAGGTCTTGCTTAATCACTTTTGTTGTCCTGAGAACTTGAATTTACAGTGCATCAGATTTGTTGCCAATTTTGTCTGTAGTCTAGCTTCAGCTGTTTATGGAGATGCTACATTTTCATTTATAAATATGTTTGTGGTATTAAAAAAAATGAGTATAACCAAGTTTGGCTGGAATTAATATCCCTGGGCACCCTGGAACCCCTGTAGCTATACCTCTGGGATTCTACAAAGTTATTGTAGACTTAAAAGACTGTTTCTTTACTATTCCTCTCCATCCAGAGGATTGTAAGCGTTTCGCTTTCAGCCTTCCCGCAATTAACTTTAAAAGAGCCTGTGAAGAGATATCAATGGAAGGTTTTGCCTCAGGGCATGGCCAACAGTCCCACCTTATGTCAGTCATATGTGGCCATTGCCATTGCTGAAGTTAGAAAAGATTGGAAGGATGTATACATAATCCATTATATGGATGATATACTTTTAGCAGCAGCAAAAGAGGAGGTGGTCTTGTCTTGTTTCAAAAGTCTACAAACTGCCCTTACTGCTAGTGGATTAGTCATCGCCCCAGAGAAGGTGCAACTTACTGATCCCTACACCTACCTAGGATTTCAGTTAAGTGGAACTCGCCTATCGACTCAAAAGGTGCAACTCAGGCTAGACTGTTTAAAAACCCTCAATGATTTTCAAAAATTATTAGGAGACATAAACTGGCTGTTACCTTATCTAAAATTATGCAAAGCTGATCTCAAGCCCCTATACGATACATTGGTAGGGGATCCCAGTCCTACTTCAAGGCAACTCACCCCTGAAGCAAAATCAGCTATCAACTTAGTTAACCAAGCTATCAATAACCAAACCATCACCTTTTTCGATATATGTCATACCTCACTATCTCCCACAGCTGTGTTCTGGCAAACTGCTCCACTTATGTGGATCCATCTTCCTAATATGCCCACTAAAGTCATTGAACCTTACTACCTTATGGTAGCCAGTCTAATTACCAAAGGAAGAACCCTAGGCAAGGAATATTTCGGACAGGCACCTAACAACATTGTCCAACCTTATACCAAACAGCAGATCCATTGGCTCATGCAAAATATTGAAGCATGGCCCATTGCACTCGCCTCTTATACTGGCAACCTCGATAATCATTATCCTCCCAATAAGCTTCTAGATTTTGCCAACAGACATGATTTCGTTTTTCCTAAAAACACCAGACTTCACCCCCTTCCAAATGGAATTACCATTTTCACTGACGGGTCATCCACAGGGCTTGCAGCCTTTGTTACCCCAAACCAAACTATCAGCTTTCAATCCCAATCTTCGTCTTCCCAATTAGCAGAGGTACATGCAGTTATAGCTGCATTTTCCATGTTTCCCAATGATCCTCTCAATGTTTATACAGACAGTGCATACATTGCTACCTCTGTCCCAAAGTTAGAAACAGCCCCATTGATAAAACACACCTCAACTGCTGCAAAACTATTTTCTCAACTACAAAAGTTATTAATTTCCAGAACACAACCTTTCTACATTGGGCATTTACGTGCTCATTCAGGCTTACCCGGTCCATTAGCCTCTGGAAATGCCAAGGCAGACCTAGTTACCCGTGTGTTCTGTTAGTTCAACTCCCTAACACCCCTCTAGCTCAAGCACAACATTCGCACAACTTGCATCATCATAATGCTCAATCCTTGAGACTACTCCATCACACAGAGATCAAGCCCGACAAATAGTAAAGTCCTGCACACAATGTGCCCCTCACTTACCGGTGCCACATCTTGGAGTTAACCCTCGAGGCCTCCTACCTAACACCCTTTGGCAAATGGATTATCACCCATATCCCAAAATTTGGAAATCTTAAATATGTTCATGTCTGCATTGATACTTATAGTGGATTTATCTTTGCCACTTTGCAAACCGGAGAAGCCACAAAACATGTTATTGCTCATCTTTTAACTGCCTTTGCATCCCTGGGGTGTCCACGTAAAATAAAAACTGACAACAGGCCTGGTTACGTCAGTACAGCCTTCACTCAATTCTGTACTCACCTAAACATTCAACATGTTACAGGCATATCCCGTACAACCCCCAGGGACAAGGCATAGTAGAAAGAGCTCATCTCACCATAAAAACCACTCTAAATAAAATAAAAAAGGGGGAATGGTACCCCCATAAGGGATCACCAAAAAACCTTTTACGACACTCATTTATTTTAAAATTTTTAACACTGGATCAAGAAGGACACTCTGCTGCCGATCGACACTGGCATTTTGAATCCAAAAGCCATTATGCATTGGTAATGTGGAAAGATCCCATGACGGGCGCATGGCATGGCCTGGACCCGGTCCTGATTTGGGGTCGAGGATCGGTGTGCATTTATGCCAAGGAAGCCGATTCGGCCAGGTGGCTTCCCGAGAGACTTGTAAAGCAGGTAGATACCGAAAAATCCAAAAAACCAACTCCACCCAGGGATGACGCCGAGCCCTGAGGGTCTTCTATCTTTTTCCTTTTTAGAAGTCAACAATGTCTATTGGTCCCGTTATACTCAGCAAACTCATGAGCGTCTTAAGATCACAAATTGAGGCCATAAAGATGCAGCCCATTCAGGTCCGTTACCACAGGCTAGAAATGGCAGACCTAGAGATGGAGCTTGATTCATAAAACACAAAGGTTATACCTTTCCTCTCAGGTCACCCGGCGAGCTGAACCAGTTAGCCAATGACAGGCAACTGAGGAGCATGAGTAAGGACACTCTGCCTAAGACGGGGAGGAAAACGTTTTTTCCCCTCCCCATGACGGATAAGGAGTCAATGTTATATCATGTGGGGTCCTCTGACCTAAGACAGGCACGGTTCCCGTGGGCATAACTACCCCTCAGCCTAATTTCTAAATAAAATTTAAAACAGGGGGGACCTGTAGGCAGCAATGGCCGCCATTTTGTGATCTGTTGCGGTTTGCACAAGTTGTTTCAGTTTGTTTCCCCGCTGCAGTAAAGTTTCAGTTTCTGTTTTCCTGCTGCTAAGTTTCAGTTAATGTTTCCTGTTGAGAAGTTTCAGTCTTTGTCCCCCCCCACCCCCGCTGATGAGTTTCAGTAAAGTTTCAGTTTCCTGTTCCCCCTCCCCCCATAAGTTTCAGTAATGTTTCAGTTTCTGTTTCTCAGCTGAATGTTTCAGTTTCTGTTTCCTGCTGGTAAGTTTCAGTTTTGAAACTTAAGGAAGGCCGGAATTTCCCAACTGCGAGCTTCCTTTGCCCCGCCTCTCTGCCTGCGCCTATTTAAGCTGTGAGCTTAGCAACGATAAACGAGACTTGATCAGACTCCTGTCTTGTCTCCATTCTTCGCGTCTCCTGCCCATCCATCCCCACTCCCTCCCTTCGAGCTCCTGCAGGTCGGGACACTGTTATACTTCTAGAATCTAGAAATATAAAAAAATTTACAATACAAGGTTATTTTTGAATGAGTAATATTAACAAAAACTTAAAAACAGGCAAAGGTAGCATATATTTCATTCAGTACTAGTATGGAAATATAATTCTAGAACTTAATTTGACAAAATAGAAAGGGTCGCACTCTGATAAACTCTCAATTAGAAACTTATCCTAAAGAAATCAGGCAAAGTAATGTACAAAGATGTATTTCATCACATCATTTATTGCAGTAAATGTATAAACACTATGCATATAAACGTTCAGCAACACAGTAATACAGAAACAATTTACTAGTGGAACATCAATACAATGGAGTACGGTGCAGTTCTAAAAGGTCTTCAGATAATTTTTAATGACATGAAAAAAATAACATTAAACAAACAGAATTTAACACCGTATTTAGTATGACCCCACCTATTATAAAAATATATACCTGAAGAGAGGGAGCAAAAACGTAAGAATGGTTGCCTCAATGTGGAATTGACTGTTTTATAAACCACATCTTTCTGTATTTTCCTAGTTTTCTAGAATAAGCATATTTAACTTCAATAAAACAAAAACAAATCATCCTTTTTTTTTTTGTTTTTTGTTTTCGAGACAGGGTCTCACTCTGTCACCCAGACTGGAGTGCAGTAACACAAGCTCAGCTCACACCAACCTCTGCCTCCTGAGTTCAAGTGATTCTAGTGCCTCAGCCTCCCAAGTAGCTGGGCTTACAGGCCCGCATCACCACGCCTGGCTAGTTTTTGTATTTTTAGTAGAGATGGGTTTTTATCATGTTGCCCAGGCTCGTCTTGAACTCCTGGGACTCAAGTGATGTGCCTGCTTTGGCCTCTCAAAATGTTGGGATTACAGGCATGAGCCACCACACCAGCCCAAATCTTTATAAAAATTTTCTTTTAAATAATTCAATGAAGTATGCAGAAAGTACAATTTAAACTTAAATACAGGATGCCAACTATCAGTGAAACCATATAGATCTACTCTCTACTTTTACTATGGGTATTTTTTTATAAGGTTACTAAAAAATGATGTAACAGAAAAATCAAAATTCTAAAATATGTGCAAAAGTAATCTGACTTGAAGGTACACACTTAACATCTAAATTAAAAGCATTTCCTTTTCTCCATATACTTAGTTCTAGTTCACTGGTTCATAACAAAGAATATTCCCACTTCCTGAATATATAGCTCTAATAACTCTATATATACCATCCTTCTATTAGGCCGGTGAATTACAGTTGTCATTTTTTTAAACCTCAAGAGTAACAAGATTATTTATGTTTATTTCACCTCTAAAATTATTAATTTCTTGTTAGGAGGATCTATAATTGCCAAGTATCTTACCTGCACATAGAAAGTTCGAGACGTTGTTACAATTTCAAAGAGGTTGTCTCTCATCATTATGTCACTGTATGAAAAAAAAATCCAATTATATTTAAATAACAGTTGTTTGACCATTTCTCTGTTTATCCAGTACCCAGTATGTGTCAATAAATAAATATAAGAGGTAAAGCACTGATGTGACAAACCCAAATTACTTTTTCCCATTTATTTTCATATAAGATTTTACATGTTTTATGTAGTTTTGCTTTTAGAAAAAGTTCATAATGCAACTTTAAAGTCAGAGTTTTTAGTAATCAGTTTGGTGAATCACTGTCACAGCTAACACATTTTCTTGTGTTGTATGCTCTATTCTGCATCTTTTAAACACTAAAATTAAAACATCAATTTGTCAATCTGATGGCCCAACCGTAAGTTGTTCACATTAAATTTCTTCCTTTCCATTAATAAGCTGTTTCTGAATTTTTAGATTTCAAAGAAACAAATAAAGGATTGTTTCCTAATTTTTAGTTTTCAAATGAACAAAATATTTCAATCTGAGAGTTCTGAAAATTCTAGCACATCTCAGCTATAAAAAGTTAAACATAACTACAATTATATGGAAAAATGTAATCTGTAAGTGTATTACTCAAATTAAGGCACTGTTCTGTGTTCATAAGTTGTGCCAGGCATCAAGTCAGAGCTGTTCCTTACCTTTGCTTACATTCCTGGACTTTATGAACCTCTTTAAGTGGAATAACACGAAGAGGTTCCTTTTCCTGGCAAAAAAAAAAACGCAAACAGATACATGACGTTCATTCTTAAACACCTTCCAAAGGTTAGCTGTCTTATTTGAAGACCCATGTGAAAATCATACTTCTGTTCTGAAGCACATCTTAAAAATAAATCTACCTTCTTTTTTTTTTTTTTTTTTTTTTTTTTTTTAGACGGAGTTTCGCTCTTGTTACCCAGGCTGGAGTGCAATGGCCCAATCTCGGCTCACCGCAACCTCTGCCTCCTGAGTAGCTGGGATTACAGGCACACACCACCATGCCCAGTTAATTTTTTGTATTTTTAGTAGAGACGGGGTTTCACCATGTTGACCAGGATGGTCTCGATCTCTTGACCTTGTGATCCACCCACCTCGGCCTCCCAAAGTGCTGGGATTACAGGCTTGAGCCACCGCGCCCGACCATAAATCTACCTTCTTAAGCCATCCAGCAACTGAACAGCTCAAACACTATAGTCTCAAATACACTGTTGTTTGAAACAATAAAAACTGCATATGACACTTATTTATATTATTACTGGCCTTAAAGACAGTATAGTTTATTAAAAGCTATTCGCCATCAGACTGTCCCCAATGGACGCACGTATCAGTATGCGTGGCGCCTTCTTTTCTGGAATGTCACTTTGATATACAAGTCAGCAGAGCAAGTGCACATCCAGCTTCTTTCACTTAATTTTGTCATTTTACAAGTATCACTTCTTTAAATAAACACACACACACACACACACACACAAACTTGTACGTTTACTAAGTGCTGAGACATCTGCTAGGTTTTAAATGTTTTATCTCACACTTTCCACAACCCTACAACACATGTACTATTTATTCATGTGCTGAAACTGCAGATTAGACATGTTAAGTATCACACCCAAGGTTACAAAGTAGATATAAGATACAAATATAAAATAAAACTGGTTCCTAATAGCGTATTTCTAGTATACATTCCATAAAATATAATATACATATTTCATTGACTATGACAGCATGAGATTAAGACATACCATTACTTTATGCAGCACCAAAAATAAAACTAAACAACGAAGGAGTGCTTTTTTTATTTGAGACACAGAGTTTCGCTCTTGTTGCCCAGGCTGGAGTGCAATGGCGTGATCTCAGCTCACTGCAACCTCCCCCTCCAGGGTTCAAGTGAATTCTCCCGCCTCAGCCTCCAGAGTACCTGGGATTACAGGTGCCCACCACCATGCCCAGCTAATTTTTGTATTTTTATTAGAGACAGGGTTTCACCATGTTGGCCAGGCTGGTCTTAAACTCATGATCTTTGGTGATACGCCCACCTTGGCCTCCCAAAGTGCTCGGATTACAGGCATGAGCCAATGCACCCAGCCTGGAGCGCTTTAAAAAAAAAAAAAAAACAAAAATCACAGATCTTTTTTAAAAAGGCTCACAAAATAGTTTAATTTTGATATAATTTCACACTATAAAAGACTTAGAAAAACAGTACAAATAATTTCTACATAACCTACACCTTGTTTTCTAAACTGTTAATATTTTACATTTGCTTTATCACTGTCTATGTTTATATGTGTGTGTGTGTGAGTATATATAGATTCCTGAAATGCCTGAAGGTAAGTTGCAAATATGATGTACCTTTACTACTAAATACTTCAGTGTGTATTTCCTAAAACATGGATGTGCTCTTGCATAACCACAGTGCAATTATGAAAACTGAAAACTCAACATTGATGCAGTACTATAATCTACAGACCATCTTCAGCTTTTACTAACTGCCCTACTCATATTCTTTATAGCACAAGGACAACGATTTTCTGATCCAGGGTTTAATTAATCCAGGATCATATCCTGTATGTCTCCTTTAACTGTGGAACAGTTCTTCAATCATTTTTCAGAGTTTTAAAAAGACCAGGCCAGTTATTTTTGCAGAACACATCCCAATTTGAATTTGTCTGATATTTGCTGAAATTCAGCTTATACATTTTTGACAGGAAGCCATAGGCATGACACTGTTCTTCTCAGTGGACCACTGTTAGGAGGTACACACCTGATGGTGGCTTGTCCTGTCACTGGTGTGTTAACTCTGATCTCTTGCTTCAGGTCATGTTTGCCAGTAACTGTAAAATTACTTTTTCCCTTTGTCATTGTTAAGTATCTTGTGGGGAGATACCTGGAACCTATGTAATACTGGGATTCCCATCATAATTTTGCTACTAGTTTTATCGAACACTGAAGCCTCTTGCCTGAAACCATTACTAGTGGCTGCCAAAGGGTGATTTATTCTAACCCCATCAATCCATCTACATATATGAAGATAGAATTTTATTCTAAGGAAATATTTTTCCTTCTCCATTTATTTATTCATGACTCACCTTAATCTATGGGTTATAATCCATTACTATCATTATTTATGTGGTTGTTTACATTGCCTGCATTTTGGTCAGGCCCTTCAAGGTAATTTCTGTGTCCTTTTGACATGTTCCATTCATTCTCTGAGGCACTTCCTTATTTTTTGGCAAAATTTCACTTTCTGACCTCAGGTGGTACTTTATCTGCCCCAACTCTGAAATCAGTTATAACGCCAAGGGTTCCGGATTCCTTTTGTTTACAGAATGGCATTTACAGTTGCCTTTGGACAGGGTGGGTAGAGATTTGCCAATCTCTTCACTCAGCCACAACCTTCTCATGATAGATGAGAATATTTCAGTGCAGTTTTAATGATCAGTGACACTGAATTTTTAAAATATTTTAAGGCCTATTTTAATTTTTTTTTAAATTGAATATTCATGTCTTTTGTTCATTTGCCTACCAGATACTTTCCCATACATTTTCTTTTTTAAACTTTGAAACGATCATGAGTTTATACAAGGATTGAAAATACAGCACAAAGAACTGATTTTCCTGAACCATTTCAGAGTGAGTTGCTGACTTGTCCCACACTACCCCTGAATACTTTTCCTATAAAGACATCTCTTACATAATCACAGCATAATCATCAGAATCAGAAAACTGTGCCCAAAACGACTTTTATTAGAGCAAAAGAATTCCATTCAGAAGCATGAACACCATCTGCTTATCAAATATTTTCTTTTCCTCAGTCTGGAACAGCTCCTCCTCATTTCCTTGACTTTCATAATCTTGACTCTATTGAAGAGTGCAAGGTATTATTTTGAAGAATGACCCTCATTTGGGTATGCCTCATGGTGAGATTCAGAGTACACACCTTGGGCAGGAGAATCATCAAAGTGGTGTTGTCTTCTTAACGCTACCCTGTCAGATGGTAAGTGATTTCAATTGATCTCATTAACAATGACATTTTAATTATTTGACCAACCTGAGTAAAGTGGTATCTACCAGGTTTCCTGGCTGTAATGTTACTTTATCACCTTGCACAATACTTAATACCTATTTTAGTAGACAGGTACTTTGAAACTATGTAAATATCTCATTCCTCAACATACATATAGATATACATCCATTCACTAAAAACTACTGTTTCTCTGACAAGAAACTTGGCTTCTATTATCCTTAATATACTTTCTTATTTTATCAATCAGTGTGTATGAGACCATTCTCCCATCTCTGCCACCACCCCTTCCCCATGTGGATGCCCTTCTCTCCCTACTCCACGTGGGGCTAACTCCCTAAGAAGACAGCCTCCTTATCCTTCGTGGGCTCTGACACCCACGCAAGGCTACACTGGTTCCTCTTGGATGCCTATGTCACTTTGCCTCACCTAAAATGGGGTCTGAATTGTTTGGGATTGATGGAAGGAAAAGAAGGCGAAGAAGGTGAGGAAAAATCCTCTCATTTCTTAAGATTCTTTGTAAGTTTTATCTCTAACATATGTTGCAAATATGTTCACCAGTTTTTCAGTTGTGCACTTCAGTCTTTTATACTTATTTTTGAAACTTTTAAATGGTCTTTTAGAGATACACACTGAGATAGTTACAGATGAAATGGGAAATATCTAGGATTTGCCTCAAAATATGAAGCAGGAAGTGGCTGGTAAAACAGAAACAAGACGAGCTGAGCCATGTGTTAACAATTACGACATCTAGCTGATGGGTACATGCAGGTTCCATATATTATTTCTGTCTACTAAAAGTGTATGTTTACACTTTTCCACAATGAAAAGGTTTTATAAAAAAGCCCATTTATGCTTTAAACATTTTTATCATATATCACTCTTGAGCATATATAAAAGAGAAAAATATAAGCAAGATAGACTCGTCACAATTTTTGTTTTTTGAGATGGAGTTTCACTCTTGTTACCCAGGTTGGAGTGCACTGGTGCAATCTCGGCTCAGTGTAACCTCTGCCTCCTGGGTTCTAGAGATTCTCCTGTCTCAGTCTCCTGAGTAGCTGGATGACAGGCAGGTGCCACCATGCACAGATAATTTTTGTATTTTTAGTAGAGATGGGGTTTCTCCATGTTGGTCAGGCTAGTCTCAAACTCCTGACTTCAGGTGATACGCCCACCTCAGCCTCCCAAAGTGCTGGAATTACAGGCGAGAGCCACTGCCCTAGGCCTGGTTATCGTTTTTTAAGATTTCACATCCAGATTCCAGATCTTCCGAATCACTTTTTGACTTGGGAGCCACCAATGTCCATGTTTTTCACTCCAAGCCATTCTTTACGCCAAAAACTGTTGGTGATACAACATTTAAGAATGTTTCATGATATCCCTGAGATTTTCTCTGAAGCTGCCAGCACTGTTCTCTGTACATGGTGATGCTGGTGTCTTTTGGATTTTACCCAAAGGGATAGCATGTGCAGCCTGGCTGCCCCTCACCCTTAGCAACTCTAAGATTTCAGAAATGTTAAAACTGGGGGAGGGGAAGCTGAGACAAAAACTACTATAGAAATATTTACTAAGTTTTGAAAACCTGTACGCTGGGCATTATTCTGTGGAATTTAAGAAAAAGAACAAAGAACTACCATAGAAGGTAGATTAACTAGACTCTGTAAAATTAGGAAAATGTAAGTATAGTTATAATTACTGGCCTTTAATGGTTTTCAGCTTTATCTGCAATTTCTAAATACTGAAAATATTCCTAATTATTAAAACTACAGTTGATGATGGGGCATATGTCAATTTCCCCACCAAAACTGAACTCTTGGAGGCCAAAGGACTTTGCTAATTATTCTCTTTTATTTCCAGTTCCCAGAACCGTGTGTCTCTCCCAGAACCGAGAGCTCAATGAATGTCTGTTACATGAATGACTCTTCCCAGGAGTATTGGCATTAAATAAAATCAATGAGTCAACCTGCTGACCAAGCACAAATGTAGCCTTCTGAGACAACAAAGCAGGTACTTTCTAAACCAAGTAACTACTACTTCCAGTTGAAGCGCTTAAGCTTTGAGAAAGTCACATGCTAAAATGCCTCTTCTTGCTGTGCTATGCCATTTTACATTCATTCAAAGACACTTACAGATTGTCTACCAAGTGCCAGGCCCTGTGATCATAAAAGACGACAAGAGTCTTTACCCTCAAGAACCTCATTTAATTTAGTAGTAAAGACAAGTATGCACATGACTGCAAAACCCTGAGAAGAGTATTATGATAGAGGTATGCAGAGGGTACCACAGGACATATAAAGAGAAGACACTTAACCCAGAGTCTAAAAGCTTCCCAGAAGGAGCTGACTCCTGAGGTCAATCTTAATACACTAGTGCTCTGCTGGCCAATACAGTGGCCATTATGTATAATGATGTAAATTTAAATTAATTAAAATGAAATAAAGTCAGTTCCTCAGTCACACTAGCCACATTTCCAGCACTCAGCAGCTACATGTAGGTAGTGCCATTGGAAAATACATACAGAAAACATTTCCATTCATGCACAAAGTTCTAATGGACAATGCTGTTCTGGTGACTTCATTTAAATAAAGTATAAAGTTCCCTTCTCAAAGATCCCATACAAAAAGAAGAGGTAGGACAGACATTTATAGTACAGAATTGCATTGAATTTATCCAACCAGCTATTTCAAGACTCAGGTCACCCAACAATATTTTAAATAAGGATGCTACTCACACAAGGCAAAGAGGGAAGGAATTTCAATCTCTGATTCTACCTTCAGGGAGGACAAAAACATCTTACGGGAAGTGATTTATGAGTCAATCTGAACTAGGTAAAAAAAATGTTAAGAGAAGGCAGGAATACAGAGGCTTAAATGTTGACTTTACAGACAGAATTCTTTACATCAACTAGGAGATTCTGAGATCTTCAGATCTTTTAAGGTGGAATGCTGCTTTGAAGACAGGATCTTTTTACTTAAACACAAATTTAAGAAAAATATCGTTAACCAAAAGCATCACAACCAAATAAACTGTATGTATCTCTAAAAACTAGTTATTCTAAAACTAGAGAACAGCACAAGAAATTATATATAATCACTACAATGCAACACTTTTCAAACATTTTTATGGCAACATTTATGATGTAATAACATACCAGTTCAGATTTGAAGTAGCCTATTGTGTTTTCATCCAACTGAAAATATCTTCTCTTCCAGTTTTTCATCTACCAGAGATGAACACAGACATAAGACTTCTGTTTCTAAGAATGTCAAATGTTAGTCACCACTTAATTATCCTGATACGAACCCACAATCAGAAATGCCAAGCACTGAAAAATCTCATTACCTCCCTTAGAGATTCGATAAATTAAATCTCATCCTTCTCTAGCTACCCAGGCTTTGAATTCCTAATTCAATTTTTGGTGCCTGGCTTTCATCTTTTATTGTATGGTTTTACGGTATTATTTCACATTTTTGATGCTGAAACAGTTTTTATATTTTAAAGCACTTCCCCTTCCTCCTACTCCCTGCGCGTCCTTCTGCCCCATGTAAAGAGCAAACACAGGAAATGTTATTAAACCACATTAAGTTTCTCTATCTGTAAAAATGCATGAATTCTTCCACAAGTACTTTTTAGTAAAGCAGTAAATATTTAATAAAGTAAACCTATTTTGTACAAATATTTTTTGTCAATAAAATACAGTTTTTGCAAAAGCACTTAAATATCTCTGACTGGTATTTTGGACTTAAGAGTGAAACAAAAAGGAACCATCAGGCTGTCTGTACAGACAACCGAGCATCACTGCCTGATGAGAATTCTGACTCTGCCTGCAGACAGTAGGAAACCCCTGCCCTCACCGCCATTTTCCTCAGCCTAAAGCAGATCAAACAGGGGGTCAAAGAACATTCCTCTGGCTGCCCTAAAAAAATTAGAGTTGCCAAAAACTGATGAGAAGTCAAACAGAACAAGCAAAATAATTTTAAGTGTTTATTTACTCGCAGACTCTTAAAAAACATTTTCAAACTTTAAAGTTTATTTTCTTATGAAATTCGAAAGATTTAGTTCACACAGAATTTAGATAGCAAGTTATGTTACAACCTCAGAAACACTGGTAAATTTACTTGCTCTTGCAAAAAAATTCATCATGGAACTGATTATGTGGGCATACCTGGGCTAACCCATAACAGCTTTTACCAAGTACCAGGTGCTATGCAAAGGGAAATACATCTCTCTTATTTACATCTCTTAAAAAGCAAAACCCTAGATGGCAGGTTTTATATGATATTCCTTAAAATAGAAACTGATGGCCTCAGAGGTTAAGTAAGTGGCCCAAGGTCAGAGAGCTTACCACTGAGGTCAGCCCAATGCCTAATCAAGAAAGGGACCCTACCACCCCCTACTCCCTCTCCTGCCCCTGGCCTGCCATCTCCCCACTACAGATCTCTTTCCCTGACCCACTCCTGAAGATGAGTGGAGATCAACAGAAAAACTTTCTATAACATTAAGCTGTTAGTAAAGCTCATTTAAACTCAAAGTCAGTGGTAATAGACATTAACTTTCCTGGTCTCCTGCAAACCAAGCAAATAATAGCATTGAGTTTTAAGCACAGAATAACCCCTATTTTATCTCCTGACTCTCCTCAGTATGCTGGTCTCTCACTTTGGGTCTTTCATAAAATAAAGCATACAATTTGCCTGTTAATCTGAGTTTGCTAGAACATAATCCTTTTTCATTATTTCATATATTTTGTTAGGCTACTCACCACTGCTCCTTGTTTTACACAATATCCAGCTTTGATAACTGCACTATCCGGAGGTGGTTTGGGAGTAAAGTAAGGAAGATGGCTTTGTGACCGTTTCAGATTATTTCTGTCAATACTTTCACCACATTCATTTATTTCTTCTTTCTAAAACAAAGCAAAAGAAATAAATAGTTTTCTTGCTTGTTTAGTTTCAAAGCATACTTTTATTTCATATTATCCCAGTGGAAAATCTTAAAATCCATCTTAGATTAGTCAGAAAGATTTCTGAAGGGTTTTCTAATTAATCTGAGATACTTAATCACAATTTTCCTGTCACTGGTTAAAGCACAAATTTCCATTCCTCTTCTGCACCAGTCCTGCCACCAGTGCTTTTTTTGGGAGAAAGGGTTAACTTTTTATTTTGAAATAAGTATTCAGATTCACCAGAAGCTTCCCCAAAAAAGTACAGCAGGTCCCATGCACCCTTTCACTAGTTTCCCCTCAGAGGGAAACTGCATAACATCAACAACAAGAAACTGACATTAGTACAACCCACAAACTTTATTCAGAGTCCACCAGTCTGACATACATTCGTCTATGTGTCTATACAGTTCTATGCAGTTTTATCACATATGTATATCTGTGTAACTACCACCACATTTCAGACCCAGGACTGGTCATCACCCCAAGGCTCCCTGTGCAGCTTTAGAGCTCCTGCCCCCAAATCCCTTGGCAACCACTAATCTGTTCTCCAAGACTGTAACTTTGACATTTTGAAAACGTAATGTAAATGGAAGCATACAGGAGGTTATCTTTTGAGATTATCTTTTTCCACTCAGCATAATTCTCTAGAGATTCGTCTAGGCTGTCTGTCCCTTCTCTCTAGAGTTCATTCCTTGTTATTGCTGTATTCCATGGAATGGACGGAGAACCAACTGCTTAACTGTTCACCCATTAAAGGACATTTGAGTTGTTTCCCGCTTTTAGCTATTAGGAAAAAAGTTGCTATCAACATTCATACCTAAGTTTGTGTGTGAACATAATTTTCCCTTTCTCTACAATAAACACCTAGGCCTGCAAACGTTGTGTTGTATAGTAATCACAAGCTTACTTTTATTTAAGAAAAGAAAAAAAAAAAAACCTCCAAAGCGCTTTTCTGAGTGGTTATACTATTTTTCATTCCCACCAGTAACACTTGAGAGATCATGTTTCTCCTCATCCCTGGCAGCATTGTGTTATCATTAACTTTTATTTTAGCCATTCTGACAGGTGTGCAGCAATATCTCATCATGCTCTTAATTTGTATTCCCTACTACCTAATGATGGTGAACATCTTTTCATGTGCTTGCTTACCACCTGTGTATTTTTTATCTTTTGATGAAATATCTGTTCATGAATTTTCTAATTGATTTCTTGGGCTTTTTACTGTTGGGTTCTGAGTTCTTTACATGCTCTTTATAAGTTCTAGATATAAGTCCTTTGCTGGACATGTGGTTTGCAAATATTTTCTCCCAGTTTGTAGCTCTTCTTTTCATCCTCTTAAGAGGGTTTTCACAGAGCAAATATTTTTTATTTTGATGAGGTCCAATTTACCTATTTTTGCTTTACAGATTGTGCTTTTGATTTATCACAACTCTGCCTAGTCACAGAGCAAGATTTTCTCCTACGCTCTTTTCTAAAAGTGTTGTAGTTATATGTTTTACAAATAAGTCCAGTGTTTTTTAAAAAAAAAAAAAATGGCTGGGCATGGTGGTTCCTGCCTGTAATCCCAGCACTTTGGGAGGCTGAAGCAGGCAGATCATCACTTGAGGTTAGGAGTTCAAGACTAGCCTGGCCAATATGGTGAAACCCCGTCTCTACTAAAAATACAAAAATCAGAGCCAGGCATGGTGGCACATACCTGTAATCCCAGCTACTCAGGAGGCTGAGGTAGGAAAAACACTTGAACCCATGAGATGGAGGCTGCAGTGACCAAGATCACACCACTGTACTTCCAGCCTGGGTGACAGAGAAACACTCTGTCTCAAAAAAATAAAATAAAAATAAAAATAAACTATACTCAGGTTTTCATGTTCCTCGATGCACTGGTTCCCTGTCTGTTTACTGACTGATTTTTTTTTTCGAGACACAGTCTCACTTTGTTACCCTGGCTGGAGTGCAATGGTGCGATCTCGGCTCATTTGCAGCCTCCACCTCCGGGTTCAAGCGATTCCTGTTCCTCAGCCACCCAAATAGTTGGAATTACAGGCATGAGCCACCACACCCAGGTAATTTTTGTATTTTTTAGTAGAGACAGAGTATCACCATGTTGGCCAGCCTGGTCTCAAACGCCTGACCTAAATGATCTGCCTGCCTCAGCCTCCCAAAATGTTGGGATTACATGTGTGAGCCAATGTGCCCAGCCAGTTCCCTATTTACAATATCTGACAATCTAGAATCCCACAAGTAAGCCTAAAGTGTATTTCTAGAATATCTAAATCTTCTGAGAAAATCTAAGTCCTAAGAGTCACACGTATCTTGAGGAACTTTCAACCCTTTCTAGGTTTAGACAGGTCAACACTAATTATTAACTTACCTTTTTAATCCTAGCACTTAACTCACTGCTTAGTCAATACTGAATAAATTAATGTAAATGAGATTTAGTGTTCTCTCATTACTGTATTGCCTAAATGCTTTTATGATACTATTTTGTAATATTTAAAACTATATTACTGAGGCCGGGTGCGGTGGCTCAAGCAAAACAAAAAAAACTATACTACAAAATAAATGATGCAATAAAATTCTATGAGATTTTTTTAAATTACACCCCCCATAGAACCTACTGAAGTATCTATACCAAAATTACAATGCGACAGAATCTTCACTCTAAGCAAAATTAAAACCACCACAGATACAAACTACTACAGTATCTTAACACAACTACAGGAAAATCATCTTACCCCTATGTCAACATAGGTCATAATACAAGTGAAAGAAGCTTAATCTAGCTACATAGTAACCAGAAGGTTAACAGTTTAAAATCACTACTTTTGGAAAAAGTAAATACACAATTCTAGCTTATTTTTTAATCCAACTTTGGTGAAAAATGTACATTCCTATGACAGCAGGAATTTTTGTTCATTAACATACCCTTTGTCAAGCATAAAGCAAGCACTCAATGGTTAATGAATGTTGTAAGATTTCTAATCCCACTAATCACCTCCCCGAGCAAAAGACCTGAAAAACGTTGAGTGTGATACTATCTCATTTAAAAGATTTATAAAGTGTCAAAGTCAAAGTTCAAAAGGCACACAGGTAATAAAAATGCCAAGCTTGGCAATACCAATTGATTATTTTAAAATACTTGGTTTCTCAACTACTAGTAACTTAATTTCCACTACAAATTATCCTTTCCAATAGTAAAACAAAAAATTTAAGCTCAAACAAGTTTTAATTTCATCAAAAATTGTTTATAAATTTCTATTTTAGCCCAAATAAAGACTTAATTTAGCATATTAGTACTTCTGAGATATAATTTAGTTAAAATGCGTCCTCTCTTTAGCTCACTTAGGCCAGGTTGTAGAAAAAAATAGATTTTAAAAATTACTACTTGCAAACTTAAGAATATTCATTGTAGCATTGTTTACAAAGGTAAAAGAAACAAAAAGGAAAAGAACTCTATTTGTCCAACAGAGGATTTATAATTTATGGTAAATCCATGGAAGAACTACTATACAGTCATTAAAAATGATATAAAAGGATTTTTGATGACTTGGAAAATGTTCATTAAGTGAAAAAAAATCTGTTTACAAAATGTAATATAGAACTCATCTCTCCACTTCTGAAGTGAAAAGTACACTGAAGAAAGGCTCAGAAAAAACATGACAAGTGTTCAATGTTATGTGACTTCCAAATATTTCATAATACTTCTGAAATAAATGAAAATATTTTATAGTAATTGAGTACTGTACTAATTCAGCAAAGACGCAATGTTTTAGTTTTAATAATACAAAAATCAATATACAATAATTAGACCCTCACACAGTAAAAGAGTTAATATCTTACCTGAGTTGGAGTAATGATGGGTACGCCACCAACAATATCAGTTCTGTAAGACACTTGCTTCTTCCCACATTCACCATGGCGACTTAGGTTATCAGAATTAGGCTGTGAGTCTGACTGCTTTGGTACCTGAAATTGTAAATAAAATGAATTATTTTCCAACCAGCATTACACACGTGAACCTGTTTTCTCACATAATTTCTAATTAATTGTCTGTTTGCATATAGCTGACAAATACGTATAATAATTATTTATAGTCCATGTATGTTCTCACACTGCTTTTTCTGTTTGAATAATACTTTATAATACAGCTATCACTTAATGAGTGCTTACTAGGGCAGGTACTATTTCACACATTTTTCTCATTTACTATTCCTGTCTACCCTATGTATAGGAGCTCTACCCCCACCTAAGAGACAAGAAAATAGGCTCAGGGCATTAGGGAACACAGGCGGAGATCTTGACTATAATACATTCTAGCCAAGTGTGTGTAATTCTTCCAAACCCAACTGCTGTGCTCTAGACCCTGTTTACTGGCACACTTACTACTGGCTTACAGCTCTTTGCTGTTTCTTCCCTTTCTCCATTCCTACCCATGATTCTGGGATCATGGCATATTCAGTCTTTCCTGGCTTTAAGACAGAGACTACTACCAAAACCATAGTAAGTATTCAACAAATGTTGAAAAACTGCCTCAATGGAAGAATCCAAAGTCAGCAGAAAAAATAAGCGAATTCTTAACACAAATCAAAAGGTTCAAAACAAAACTTTTCACTAGAAATTTAAAGACCAAATTCCAACACTTAGATCAATGATAAATCATTCACAAGTACAGGGAAACAATGACTGTGGTAACAGTAGAATCTTATAACACCTCACTAAAGCAGATGAAAGAATCAGAGGTATCACAAACGTTTAACATATATTTTAGCTTTTCTTATGTAGTCTATTCATGAAATAAGGTACTCACAGCTAATCATTATTTCTATCTGTAGACTGTTAAGCATGTAGTCTGTATTTAAATTATACACTTTTAAGGCTGTGAATAAAATGTCATAAAATCTGCTCAGCATCAATTATGATGCTGAACATGATTCAGTGTTTCTCCAATGATTCAAAGGACATGTAGAACCTTGCAGTCTTTCAGAAACACTATGACAAATACTACTGACAATCACAGAAGTAGTGGTATAAAAACATTTAACTTAGTTTGCCTGTCATACAGCTAACTCCTATTAACAGAGTCCTGGTAGAGCTACAGGACACCATTCACATTGTATTCAAAGACCCAAACCATTTATTAGTGTAATTCCAAAGCAGTGTGGTTTCTCAAACTTTAGCGTGCACAAAGTATCACCCAGGAACATTATTTAAACCTTCAGCTCCCCCTGCTTCAAACCCAGAAATTCTGACTCAACATCTATAGTGGAGCTCAAAAACCTGCACTTTAAGGAAGAACACCGGACATTTTGAGGCAGGAGTTTCATAAACCACACTTTGAGAAACACTGCTCTAAAACCTGTGCTCTCCTATACAATGCTACTCCCACCAGATTTGTGGAAGAGGGTATACAATACAGATAAGGATTTGTAAAGCAGCTTTTTGCAAAATATTGAGTAAACATAGTACATGTATATATGAAAGGCCATGGAGCTACAGTAAATCCCAATCCACACAAATGTAATTTATGGATATAACAAATGACTTGTCTCTTAGGTGACTTCTAAAACTCCTTCTCCCTTCCTTCCCCACCTGCCTCCCTTGAAGCGGTTTCTCTCAGGCCTCAGGCCCACCCTCCAGCCTCTGGTTCATATTCATACTACAATGCCCATCACTGGCAGAAACAAGAGAGATAGAAAACAGGAAAGAGAAGAGAAGAGAAGAGAAGAGAATCCTGAATACCTCTTCAATTCTTCTAAGAACTTGCACATTTTGGAGAGCTTTTCAAAGGCAATAAAATAATGAACAGAATTTTACTTGTCAAATAAAATTAGGATAGTATACCCTGGAACAATTTTCTAAGGAAGCTCATTATATTTTCTAATGAATAGCATCATAGATTTCAATCATTCTGACAGAGAAAATATGGCCAGTTATCTCACTGAGAACAGAAAATAGCATTAAGAGAACTTGAAACCAGAGAGAAAACAATCTATTCAACTAGATTCGATGAGAGGTGCTGCTAAGAGGAAACTCATAAGAAAAGTAGCAGTTCTTCTCCCAAGAAGTTTAGTCATACATGGGAATTATTAAGAAAAACCTTTAAAGTCATCCTAAAAAAATACTGAAATTTATATTAGCTTTTCCATTTTTCTTAAATTACAATATATTAAAAATCCTTGCTTATGCTGTTAAACTCACTGCTTCTAATATGTCCTTATAATAACATCAAATGCTAATAATTAACTGAGAATGGCTAACTTGTAATCATCTTATTCCCTAAGAGCAAGAAAAGTTCAAGCAAATATCCATGAATATGGATAACTCCTTTAAAAACCATAGGTATCACTGGAAAACTTGTTCTAAATTCAGCCATTAAGATAAGCATTTTGTTAATGTTTATCTAATTTCAGGGACACCCCCCGGCCCCAAACCATCCAACTGTCCAGTGAAAATCAGAAAAGTGATCTCACTAAGCAGTTGGCACATGTCAGACATGGAATACGCTTTGTTTCTTTGTCTACTGCCTTTCTTCCTTTCCCTGACTTTCTATCCTTTTTTACGTCACTGCATTTTTTGTCGAAGATCTGAATGTGTTCTTGGCAGGCATTTGCATGTGATCCTAATAGTAGGAAATTCTAGTAACAGGAAAAGAAAAGGTAAAAATTAACTAGAGAATAAAGAGATGAAAAAAATAGATTTAAGTATTTGCGAGTAAAATACATGAAAATGCTGCAGGTTTCTCAAAAGTTAAAGGGAACGTTGATATTCAATTCCTGAGAATGAAAATGTGATGTTGGGCCAGGCATGGTGGCTCACACCTGTAATCCCAGGACTTTGGGAGGCTGAGGAAGGCATATCACTTGAGGCCAGGAGTTTTAAGATCAACCTGGACAACATGGTGATATCCAGTCTCTACTAAAAATACAAAAATTAGCCAGGCATGGTGGCACAGACTTGTAATCCCTGCTACTTAGGAGGCTGAGTTATGAGAGTCACTTGAACCGTGAAGGTGGAGGCTGCAGTGAACTGAGATTGCACCACTACACTCCAGTCTGGGCAACAGAGCAAGAAGAAAAAGAAAAAGAAAAGGGGAGGGAGAGAGAGGAGAGAGATAAGAGACAGAGACAGAGACAGAGAGAGAGAGACAGAGAGACAGAGAGAGAGAGGAGAGAGAGAGAAAGAGAGGAGAGAGAGAGATAAAGAGCAAGGAGAGGGGAGGGGAGGGAAAGGGAGGGAAAGGGGAATGGAAAGGGGAAGGAAGGGGACGGGGAAGGAGGGGGGGAAAGAGAAAGGGGAAGGAGAAGAGGAAGGGGAAGGGAAGGAAAGGGAAAAGAAAAACAAGAAAAACAAAAAACATTTCTGCCACAAATTCAAAGAACTAATTTTTAGATTCAAATGAAATATTTATTTTTAAATTTTAAAAAAGACATGTTTGTTTAAAAACAATGGATCTCTGTTCAGGAATAAACCTACATCTTAGACATTCCTTAAAAATCAGTAAGGGAACAGAACCCACCATACTTACGTTGTTATTACTATAAATGAACAGTGGAAAGCATACTTTAAAATCTGATTTTCCTCACTCCAGTCACTAATGCTCCCCCCTTCAGGGTTGATTCTCCCACTGTTGCTCTTTTCCTTTCTGTGTGTGTGTAATACAGATGGTCCAAGACTTACGATGGTTCAACTTACAACTTTCCAACTTTACTGTGGGTTTGCTGGGGTACTAAATGGATTTTCAACTTGTGTTTTTCACTTACAATGGGTTTATCAGGATGTAACCCCATCATTAGTTGAAAAGCAACTGTAAAGGGAAAAGGATTTCAAGTGGCACTCACCTAGACTTAAGTAAGGAAAGTCACAGACTACAGTGTTGGAGGATAATGGATTAAAATGGCAAGATACTTATTATAACTAGGAAATAGTTTAAATATCATTCCCTTGCCCATTGCCCTCTAACCACCTCTATTTTGAAACCACATACTTCTAAACTCTAATTTTGGATTTTGAAAATTTTTAAATTTATACATCACACAGTACTCAGCAGACAACTAAATTACATAGTTGACCAAAATGAGGCAATTCCATAGAAAGATAAAGTGCACATATATCAAAACATATACTTTAAGTTTTCAAACAATCTACATGTAAATCACCAGTAATTTCCATAGGAAAATATAACAAATTAGAGATTCCACACTTTAATACACTTAAATGTATAAAATACACATAAAACTGGTAAGATATAAAGGAATAAAATTAACATAAAGCATATCTTATTAAAGCATGGGAAATTTTTTCACTGCTATCCTATGAGTTAAACGTGTATCTATCTAAAGTTTATTTTTAATAAGTGCTATGAATTCTATACTCACTTTAATGTAGTTAGTCACTTTATTAGTCACTACATTAATAAGGATTTCTAGATCTTGTGTTTATATTTTCCAAATGTGAATTATAAAAACATTAAAATCATTGACCAACAAATTTATCTTAAAACCTATACAAATTTCAACATGTAAAACTAAGCTGCAAGACCACAAAAGCTATTTAGAAGTCTTTTTAGAATTCTATTTCTGTTTCTCCATCATGCTAAAAAGCTTAAGTATCATTTGTATAAGACTGTTTCACACCATTTATAATTTAGACATAGCAATTCAAGACCCAGCAAAACGGTAAAAAGCCTGAAACCATTCACTACTTTTTCTTATAAAGCACTAAGAAGCCAGTGTGTTGCTTTTTACTGTAAATTGTAAAAAAAAGAATTAATTTAGTAAAGTTATGAGATATTATCTTTCTAAAGAATTTTTTCAAGCAGGGAATATTAAAAGAGTTAAAACAATTAGCTAAAAGCTTTTAAGAACACTTATGTCTGAATCAGTTCAAAAAATTGCTTTCCTGAAACTGCACAAACCTAAAATAACTTCTGCTTCATGTACAGATGAGATGCAGCACGTAGGCGTTTTCTGTCATGTGGTAACAAGCTGTTCTAGTACAAAACAAAAAAACTTGACTTAACTCCGAGAACAGCTTTAACTATATTGACTCTTTCTTGTGTTGTGATATAAATATGAAATTATTCATTTTAGATGAAAACTAACGAGTGACTAACATATGCTGACTTTCAGGGCACATGTTCTTTGAGAATATGTCACTTAGGGTCACTAAATAACTGCACTGTATTAAAAACAAAACAAAAAGAAAACACCACAATCGACACAAATCTCACAACACAAGAACTTCCCAACATTTTCCAGGCAGGCCTATGATGTATTTCTCTACCAAAGTGTAAAGGGAAAGGTGAGGCAAGGTACAATCAAATTAGAGCCTATCTACTTGCTGCTCATTATCACTAGCAAACTCTCCGTAAAGGTTTTTGGCTTTAGGAACAAAAAGAATAAAGAGAGGGCTGCTCTTTCAGGAAGCAGTAAGGCACTGCTCTTTAGAGTTCGGGCTCAAGAGCCTAACAAACTGGACTGGGCTTCCAGCTCCACAGTATACCAGCTATAGAACCTGTAAAAAGCCATTAATCTTTCTAAGCCTCGCTTTTCCAGTTAATTTAGGTAAAACCTTCAGTCTAAGATCTGGCACAGTGTAATCAATAAATATTCATCAGAAAACCAAAAACAAAGAGAAGCACACGTTAGAAGCAAGAAATTGTAGCATGGGAAAGGAGAGCAAGTGTGCCAAGTCCTACAACGCAAGGAAGGAAATCAGACGTCGCAAGTTTAGAGCCCAAGACAAACTTTTCAAGGGTCACATGGGCAGGACCCTCTGGCTGCCACACTCTTCAAACACAATCCCTACCCCTGTCCCTCACTTATCAGCCTTCATCTCCCCTTGTCCTGCTCCTGTCTTCAACTCCTTCCCTATCTGACCCCAATCCCAGTCATGGCTTGGAGAGAGAAGTGCCTATTCCCCAGGTAGGTGGCAGGAATCTCTTACACTATACTAGAAGAAAAAAATATATCCTCCTGGTAGAACTCTACGTGCTAAGTGCATTTTCTCGTAGAAACGTTGTAAGCAGTGATTAAGATCTGTAGCAATTTATCTCCTTATTAGGTACATAGTAGGTTAAAAAGGCAACCATGGGCTGATTAAAGTGCCAACAGTCACCAAGTACAAGAAAATATATTCACATTCTGAACCCCTGCCTTTTAAACAAAGTTTGCGTATGAAACCTATTGGTAAGCTGGGAACATTTGGTAGGTGTATTTTCAAAATGAAAAGACTGATTCCAGACATTGAACATTTTTTATTTTTTATAAACGTTTTCTATTTATTTTTCAAAAAAATAAATATACTTACTGTAATTTTTATAGCTTTGTTTAACACATTTACCCATTCCACCAGGTCCTGCTGATCATTGGCTTGTAGGAAGTACTTCCTCATTCCTGCATTCATAACTGTTGACAGAAAAAAATAGCTCAACAAATATTGTACTTATTACCTCTAAATTTATTTCTGCAGTAGCTGAAAAACCTTGCTAGGTTCAACATCATGACTCTTGTGGATTTGACAAAATATATCAGACCACGTATAACACTGCTTTCATCACACAGTAACACAGCTAAACTCTTACTTTGTCATGGCCATGTTTTTCATTAAATGAATACACCACAATATATTCAGTCAATCCTCTAACGATAGACTCTTAGGCTGGTTCCAGTTTTTGAAATTATATAAAATAACACAGTGAAACATCATATACATCTATCTCTCCACACTTGGCTAGCATTTCTGGGGAACGAATTTCCTGACATAGATCTGTTGAATCAAAGAAAATTGACATTTAAAAATTTTATAGGTATTTCCAAGTCACCTTCCAAGAAAGTTGAATCCATTCATATTCCCACCAACCACATACACAAAGGTTTACTTCATCTAAAACCCCTCCCCAGAACTGGTTATCAGCACCTGTGGATACTTCTAGTTTCTAGTTTTCAAAGGGTCTGTGGCATTGGAGCTGACAATCTGCAAACGATATTTCCTAGACCCCAGCTGAGGCCATTCTCTGCCAATCTCATGAGAGACTGTAAGGTGGCAGGGAAAGAAAGAAAGAGGAGACTCTCCTTGATCCTGGCTATTGTTGACCTCTCTCCAACAGCAGCACACAACCAGCTACCGTTCGGGGCCCTTTCCTGCTCCCCCTACAACAGCCTTGTAGAGTCCCCTTGGATACCAATAGCTCCATGGTGGCTTCTCCTCCAGTGCCCTCGGTTATAGTACTACTATCTCTTCCCTGTTGTCTCTCTAGCCCTTGAACAGTAGTTGCTTCATGCAGTTCCTAATTTCTGGGTTACTTCAGCATTCCCTTCATGTTCTTTCAGCCTTCCAACATTTGGGTAACCAATTCCTTCTAACAAATCCCTTGGGTTTGAAATACCTAGTGTGGTGTTTTCCTAATACTCTTTAATAACCTCACTGGTAAATAATTGTATCTTGTTCAAATTTTCATTTCTTTGGTTATTGAGATGTTTGTTAGCCATTTGCATTTATTTTGTGAATTTTACTTTCTTTACCCATATTTCTCCTGAATTGTTCATTTAGTATTAATTTATAGGAACTTCTATATTAATCTTTTCTGCTTTATTACCAGTACTTTTCCCAGTCTGTTTTTTTTTTTTACTTTAACAGTATTTTTGATCAGACAGAAATATACTATGAATCTTTTCTATAAATGCATCCAGATTTCATATCATCTAGAAAATCTCCCTAAATTAAGATTTATTTTTCTAGACCTTATGAATTTCCTTTATACTTTAAATCTTAATACATTTGGAACTTTTATGCAATTTAGTTTATATATACCCCTTTAGGGACTATGTACTCGTATAAAGCAAAGGACATGTGCACATACAGTTGTCTACAAACTATCATAGTTCACTCTTGAATTAAAGCTATTTATTATACACCACATGCATTTATTTTTAAACGCATACTCTAGGAGCTAGTTACACTGCTTCAATTGTTCAAATATAAAAATAACTTCCAAATGTCTCCATCAAAATTTTAAAAGATATACTAGGATACAGCTGAATGTGACTAAGAGAAGGAGTAAATGCAAACTCAAGAAAAACACACAAGATTTTGAAATTGGAACTGAGACCAAGACACTCTCAACTAAAGCTTCCTTGAATTGAAATGAAGGTCTTAGAAAGGAAGTCAAAGTCTATCTTGTAAAGCGCTACAAAACAGCCAGTCTATAACCTTAAAAGAAATTTAACACAATGTAAATCTGTTCTTGTATATCTTTCTATAGACTGAAGAAGTTATAAATGCCATAAATATATATTAAGATAAATCCATAACTCACTAGGACGCTATATATGTCAATAAAGAACTTCTGTTTTTAATTTCCAGTCATCAGTAAGGCTTCCTTTTATAATCTTTTTTCAGCTTAGGCTGAAGCTGAGCTCTCCTCATAATGACTTCTTTCCCTCAATGTTATTTTGGGCATCTGCCCAGAACATCTGAAGAGTTTAAAAATCTATGCACTTATTAATATACTACACTTGGTACACAGTAAATGCTTAATACATATATTTTTGAATAAATCATATTTATATAAGGATCTCTTCTAAGGAAGGGAAGAGATGTAAATATGTATCTAAAAAAGACTCCTAGTACACCTTGCAATCCGAATAAAATCTCATGTACTTTAACAACTATTTTATGGCAAGATGTAGCTATATAGGTATGATACAGAAAAAAAATCAGCCTGGAATCAGTCCAACCTGACTAGCTTAGGCACTTACAAGCAATATTATCTTACAAACATTACTTAATTTCTTTGAGCCCAATATTCCTCACCTGTGAAATGGGAATGCCACTCATTCCACTTCTTTAAGGGGTAACAATCATATATGTAAAGAAACTAACACAGTGCTTGGTACAGAATATTCTTCACTGTCATCATCTGGAGATTTCTAAGAAGTAGGGAAGCACTGTAAAAAATGTAAAGCAGGACACGGTGGCTCACACCTGTAACCTCAGCACTTTGGGAGGCCAAGGTGGGTAGATCCCTTGAGGTCAGGAGTTCGAGACCAGCCTGGTCAACGTGGTGAAACCCTGTCTCTACTCAAAATACAAAAGTTAGCCGGGCGTGGTGGCAGGTACCTGTAATCCCAGCTACTTAGGAGGCTAAGACAGGAGAATCACTTGAACCTGGCAGGCGGAGGTTGCAGTGAGTGGAGACTGCACCACTGCACTCCGGCCTGAGGGACAGAGTGAGGCTCCATCTCAAAAGAAAAAAAAAAAAAGTAAAGCAAGTTACTGAAATGTGGTATATTAGCAATACTGCTGGGGAGGGGAGAAAGGGAAAGAAAGAAAAAACTTCGAACAATAAAGAAAACAAAACTTTTGACACTGCTAAGTTGCCATGTTTCTAAAGCATGGATTTCACTGTGAATAATAAATGCATCCCTGGAGGCTTGTATCCTTCCTATCTTTTCCACTTGAGTGTTTATTTCAAATCTTCATGATTAGAAAGAATACATAAAATGGATAAAACTTGAAGCATAAACATTAGCTAAACTGCAAACAAAAATCATCTCACAACCTGAGATCAACTGGTTATGAATATATAGTTTTGAATCAAGAGATTCTAAGGTATCTTTTTTTTTTGGGGGGGGGGGGGGGCAATTTTCCCCAATCTGTTTTCTCTATTCAGTCCTTTATCTGTCCTCTCAGTTTCTATCAGATGTTGGACTTCCCTGATGTTTTCTATCTTTATTCCATTATCTATCTTGACCTTTGTTCTACTTTCAGATTTCTTTGACTTTTTCTGCTGAGTTTTGCATTGTCTCATGTTCCTTCTCCTGTTTGATAATCCTCTCTCTCAACATATGTTCAGTAACCCTGGGCTGTCTATTCATATTTTAAAAGAAAGTGCTAAAAAGATCGATGAAAAGCTCTCTTGAGTTGTTTGGTGCAGGGCTGCTGACTGTAGACCTCACTAGTCAACTATGGCAAGCTCTTCTAGCAGAAATGCCCGGATGTCAGTCAGTATCTATGGATCTTTTCTCCAATGTATTCAGATCTTACTCACCTAAACCTAGCTGCCTGGTGCTCTGGGGCTGGGGTTGCATTCAGTGTGCAGACTTTCATTTAATCCTCCTATTTTCAGTTTCATGCTTCATTCCTTTTCTGGGACTAGCACCCCTAAGTATATAGCCTCACTGATTCTACATCTGGGGACACCACACATCCCATTTCCTGCTGGGACAGGGGAAAGGTGTCTGCCTGATCAACCTAGATGGAGGTAGGGAACAGAGGTTTTTTCTGATACAGATATGCAAACAAAGTCCCTGTTTTTGGTCCTTCCTTACTGCTGCCTGCCGGAAAATGAATCCCTATATCTAAGCCTATCTGGAGTTGGCTTGGCGGCAGAACACTTAAAATGGTGAGCTCTTCATTGGCCTCTTCCTCTACTCTGCTAAACTCTCTACCATTCCTCTACCTACTTTTTAACTTTACACACTGAGGGTTACGAATAGTCTGCTCCCTCCATCAAAAATGGCTTCAGTGTTTCTTCTTCCCGCTGGTTTGGGACAATTTGAGAGAAGATACATTGGCATTCTGAATGAAAGTTGTGATGCTATTTTAGAAGTCAGTGCCTCTCTCTCTAAAGGAAAGCATTTCATGAATCTTTACTCCCACTGGTAATAGAGAACAGCTACTGACTGACCTATGAACAACTCATCTTAATTTTTTATTCCAACTAAAATCACCCATTCTAAATATCCCAGTAACTATGAATGTCAAACCTATTATTATATATTATTATTTCTGTAAGTTTGAGATTTAAAAAAAAAAAAGGTTGTCAAAATTATGTACATTATGCATTCTGAAATGTATAATGCAATACCCATTCATTTACAAGGCTCTGAGGCATCTTCCTGTTTCACAACCAAAATTATAATAAGTAATAAACATGTAACTTTTAAAAATAGCTTCATAGTGGGATAAAAGCATTTCAAAGGATTCCCTTGACAGCCACATTTCATCTTGCTCATATTAAGACGCTATTCCCATCTAGTGCCTAAAGAAACCTGCCCTTTTCAAGCAAGAGCGCAAAGAACTTCAATTCGACCCCCAGAAGTATCTTTCTCACTTTAATGTATCCCTTGTGATGTTAGTTGGCCACTCCAAATATTTGGTCCTTCAGTCACTGATGTCCACTAAAATACTCTCTGAGAGGACATCAATTCTCCCTAGCTTCGACTATGACTCCCTTTTTAACAAACTCCAAATGTCTCCATTCTTGATCCTCAAGCTCCATCCAGTCCTCAATTACTGTCAACAGAACATGTCCATTTGGAAGGTCCCCACCATTTCAACCCCAGAGCAAACATTTTATGCTATGTAAGCAGCTCTCCCTGACTTCTCATTGCTTTAAGCAAACTTCCCTGCTACCTCTCTCTTCCCTCCAAATCTCCCATATCCACCAAGCCCCTGTACTTTTCCTTCTTTTCACCCTTCCTCCTTCTCCCATTGCCACCACCCTAACTCAGGACCATTCGTAAGTACAGTAGTTCAAAAGCCACTTACCCAGTCTACCTACATGAAGACTTTCCTATCCATACAAAAAAAAACAAACCTCCTTCACCTTATGTCTGCTTTCCAGATGCTCTCTTTCTCTTCTCCCTTTTTCAAAGTAATAAAACCTATCACTCATCAAAACACAGCACCCTGGCTTCTGCCTGCCTTTTTAACTCTCTAGCCGCTCATCATACCCTCCAGCTTCAGAGTGTTCAGCTCCAGAGACACCACGCTCTTCTCCCTAGAAGCCTCTGTGCATGTAGTCTTCCTGCCTTTTCTCTGCACTGATAAGGGATACAAGCAGGAGTCTAGTTGGCCACCAATGTAAGCATCTCCTCCTCTAGGGAGGCTCCCCGACTCCTGAGCTCCCCAACAAAGATTTGAGGTCTTTTTCTGTGCTTCTTTAATAGATCGCATATCCCTTTATCTACAGGTTATGGAAATGCAATAATAACTGTATGGTATTTTTATCTATGAGACAACCAGCCTTAAGGGCAGCAACTACTTCTTATTCATCTTATAGCCCCAGTGCCAAGCACAGTGCCTGGCATACAGTAAACATTTTCTGAGTAAGTTAATCCAATACCCTCAACTACTCCGACCCCAAACTACATTTCTCACTACCCACAAGCTAAAGACCAAATCCTTTTAATTATTTATATGTTTAATAGAGAATAACATGAGGTAGAAAGTTTAAAATTACCGGAAATCTCACTGGAGGTGATCATTATAAATCACAAAATAACCGTCACATACGGGTAGAAGAAGGTGGTAGTAACTAGGACAGGACACAGGAAAGAGGCTTCAGGGTTAGGAGGAGAATGGGTGAAAAATGTTATTTCCTTATCTGTATAGTGGTTACAAGGGAATTCACCTTAGAATAATTCAGTAAGCCATAGGTTCTGTGTGGTTTTCTGCAAGAGTTTTCTTCTACAATATGACACAATTATACCAGTCTAATTTAAAATACACATAAGATGGCTACTCACCAAAACAGAACTCGGCCTTTGGCCTCAGCTTAGTAGCATCGCTAACCTAAAAGGAAAAACAGAGATAGATGGGTTCCTCACTTCCTCATATAAACCTAAAACCAAAACTTCCACATGTATGATTTCCCAATAATCATACACATTTAGCCAATAGATTTAAAATTAAACTTTAAAGACAACCAAAAAAGAATGGCAAATTCAATACATAGGATGCAGTTCCCAACTGTAAGAGGTAATAAATAATACTTCCATATTTTTCTCTGAACAAACTTGTTTTCTCTTAGGCTTAATGTTACACTAAAAATACTTCTATGCGTGACATAATTTTCAAAATACCCTCAATGAATATTCCACAAGAACTGAATTCTTCCCAAATAATATATTTTTAAATTAGCTGTGATTTTTAAGCAAAAATGGGATGCGTAAAGGGGATACTGTGTATTTAAAGTCCACAAATCCAGGCATTTAACTGAATTAATCTTAATTTTAATAATTAATTAAGGCATTACTCTGCTATGAGGAGATCAAAATGGTACCAGATCCTCTCTTGCACAGGGGATAATGGGATCACTTAAGGGCAGCTCATGGCTCATTTTACAAAATGAAGCAACTAGCTGTACTTGGTTACTGCTATCCCTTTAAACAGAGCAGCTCCCAGAAGCTCATTCACAGCTATTGTCATGCTGTTGTCCAGTGAGAGAACTCATAATTGTAGCATCTGTTTTGTACCTACAAAAGGAATTTTAAGTCTGGGGTTCCTCACTGATCCCAACTACAAACTCATAGATCTGAATCACATAAGTTTGTTCTAGAAATTTTTGGAATAAATTTTTTTCTGGAAAAAAACTGGTATATCCAAAGTAGAGTACAAACTGCGCAATTTAAACTTTGGTAAGCTGGAGGACAAGATGAAAGTTAACAGAACTACACAGAAAAAAAGTTACATTTTAAAAGAAGAGCAATGGAGGAGGGAAAAGCAGGTGGCCAGTCACCATGCTTACTTTACTGAGTTAATACTTGACTTAAGAAAGAGCTTCCATACAATATTTGTCGTATGTAAATTCACATAATATTATTTTAACAGGAAATGTTTCTTTTTAAATATGTAATTTTACTGTCCAAGGGCTAATTACTTTTCTTTTCTTTTTGGTCAATGAGAATGAATACCTCTATTGTAATACCAATATAAACTAGTTTATTTATATAACATCTGTCTTTTAAACAGAGGCACATTTGCAAATTGGTCTTCTGTTGAAGTGATCTACCTATGCCAACAGATCTCAGCATATGCATAATAGCACCCATATTATTTAATAATACTATATTGCTACCTTTTGAATCTCCTATTTTAAGTCATCAACAAACTTTTATTGCTTTTATGTAAAACACACACACACACACACACACACACACACACACACACACACACGGCTAGCACCTCAGCATTTCTTAGTTCCCTAAACATTAAGAGAGGAAAATAAGAAAAAAAGGTACCTGATGAATATAAAATCTACATTTAAAAACTTTTTTTAAAAAATAGCATTGTAAAACTACCAGAAAAGCAACGAAGAAAACAGAAATTAAAAGACACAAAGTGAAAAGAGGGAGAAGAAATCAACCTTTCAAAACAAAAAAAACGGTCCATATTTTCCTCAAAATAAAACATTAAGAAACAAAGTATCAAAGGCAATGGGATTTAAAAGTTGGAAACAGTCTAACTAAAAATAATACAGCCTTACAAAAATCTCCAGACCTTCTCAAGACAGAACTTAATTGTTTCACTGATTTCTCCCTTTCTGATGTTATAATATCTGATCATAAAAATTAATGTTATAGCAGCACTTTGGGAGGCCGAGGCGGGTGGATCACGAGGTCAAGAGATGAAGACCATCCTGGCCAACAGGATGAAACCCCGTCTCTACTAAAAATACAGAAAAATTAGCTAGGCGTTGTGACGCGAGCCTGTAGTCCCAGCTACTCGGTAGGCTGAGGCAGGAGAATTACTTGAACCTGGGAGGCAGAGGTTGCAGTGAGCCAAGGTTGCGCCACTGCACTCCAGCCTGGTGCCTGGTGAGGGAGTGAGACTCTGTCTCAAAAAGAAAAAAAGTTAATGTTAACTTTTGCAATTTGCCACATCCTGTAAGTTAAAATCACATTCTTCATAATTGTATTGATTTAAACAATTTCCTAAACATAGTAACCAGGTACTGTTTCAGCATGACAGCAATCTGAACATCACTGTTAAAGGATACAGAAAGGAAACTGCTGCTTCTATTCATACTCTCATTCCCAGGGATTTTAATTAACACATGAACAGAAGACAATGTATAATAAAGACTACCTTTGAAATGTAGGTAAGTTTAATGGCTCCAACACGTGATGATCCAGAAGGTAGGTTCTAGAAACAAATTATTAATATATAATTAGTACCCAATATTATGAATTCATTTTATAATATAATGTTGCACAAATACTTTTGACAAGTTAAAAAACTTGATTGTTTAATACCACATTTTACAAATCAACTTTTCTTCTGCTCCAGTTTTTACTAGGTCTGGAATCAAGTCCACAGCTTGGATAACAAAACTGAGTCCTACTCTGTTCCATCATCATGCATTCTATGACTAGAAGGCTATTTTTATCACTGAAGCCAAACGAATACTCTTTTTTGTGAGTTAAAAATGCCATAAACACGATCAGATTTTGTTTCTGAAAGCAATGGGAAAATATTTAGAGGCATAAAACAAATGTAAGATACTTTAAAAAGACTACACATATTGCTTTGTTCTATTAAAACTTATCAAATATCTTGACAAAAATGGACTCCATTTCCCCCCTATTAAATGATTTAGTGTGTTATGCCATATTAATCTACATTGATTCTTTTTTTCCAAAAAAAGTATGCTTCTCTTTACATCATATGCAGGGAATGTAGGTACTTTCACACACAATTTTCATTCTTCCCTTAAGTTTTAGATGCAGTTTGCATCACAAAAGAGCTAAAGGTAAGGAATTAGGAAGAGAGAGAATCATCTCTGGTTGAAACTACCCAGAAAAATTGAAGGAATGAACATCTAGGCTGGAGGTTAAGGAAAATTTTGAAACACAAAAGCAGGGAAGAATATTCCAAGCAGAGAAAACAGAGAAACTATGGCAAGCAGTTGAAGATGCACAGAAGCTCTGTACAGGTAATGCTCGACTTACGACCACCGTCGGGACCGCAGAACCATCGTAACACGATTTGGTCATAAGTTGAGTAGGCTATATGTACAGTTAAAATGGTGCACGTGGAGATGGTAGTGCTGCCAGAAACTGGTCCACACTGTCGTACGCCCAGCTGGGCAATGTTTGCGCTGCCAGATGTGGAGCAGTCGTGGCTAGCGATTGTGGTCATAAGGTCTATTGCATGGGTCGTAAGTTGATCAATACCTGTACTAGAATGAGAGAGCAGCTGTGTTGGGCTGTATGTAATGTAGTGCCCTATAAGATTGTAGTACAAAATGGTGGTCTGAAAACTTGAACTGAGAACCTAATCATAGAGGACCTAAATAAAAAACAAAGTAGCAAAGAATATATATTGTAGAGAATTTGAATCCAATGAAGAAGGCTATGAGCAAATCTGGAATCAAAATTATGCTTTAATTAATACATCTTATCATAAACTGAATGGATTATAGAAGAGGAGGTATAGGTAGGACAACCAGACAGAAGAATCTGGGGAAAAGAAACAAAACATAAATGAAAAGACTGATAGATTTCAGAAGTAAAAATGAAAACACTAGTTTCAGTTGATTTTGAAAATTATTTCTGCTGGAGATTAGGCAGGATCAACTTTTCAACTGACTTTATAATAACGTACTTAAAAAAAAAAAAATCTATGGGCTTGTTCTAATTAATTGGTAAGGAGGTAACTGGAAGCCTAGACATTTCAAAGTCTTAAGATTCCCAAACATGAACTGCTTATTGCTGATAGGGACACATCTTTTCAAAAATGTCATGCCTATATATTGTAAAACTGCATTAGTTATGTTCTGCTTTAAACTATATACTATGTATAAGCTTCCAAATACAAATCATAAGTAGTAAATGTGTACATAAAATTATAATTATTGTGTAACATTAAAAAGCTATTTGTATTCTTATATATAATGTTTTATATTTATGGGTTTTTGGTTAATCTTAGAGAAGGAAAAGAAATGTAAATATATCCTGAAGAATCTTTAACTACTACCAAAGTGATTATTTCAAAAACTGTTACCCTTCCACTCAAGGGTAATAGTTTATTTCTTGTAAGTGTTCCATGAGCCTATTATTTTAACTGCTCAATAGAGCTCAAGGCCTTTGTGGAAGGAAGAGAAATGAGAAACCAAAACATGACAAACAGTGTCACAGGAATAGCAGCGCACTACAGGGAAAGGTGAGTAGCTGACACAAAAACAATATTCAAAATACCCAGTCTCTATGAACTAGAATGATTACCGTCAGGTTGGACTGGGGAAAAAAAAAGAAAAATTCAAAATACATTACTTGACAATGAAAAAGATATAATAAACTAATACAACATTTAAGAAAAAAAGGAAAACAGGCCGTTTGTTGATTATGAGTTCCTAAACTCATTTTGCCATATACTTTTAAAATCTCTTCAGATGCACTCTCTTCGTACAGCTACCTAATTATTCCATTCTCCATCATTACCAACCTCCTTGACAAAGCACAGAAAGCCCCAAAGTGATCCCTAATAAACAACAGATTGAATTTTTTAAACCAATGGTTAGTGGTAAATGAAGCAGTGGTCAGGGGAAAAAGTGGCTCCCTAATAACAGATGAATCAAACTAATTTTCTTTCTTTACCGAGGTTATTATGAGCTGTATAACCAGGTTACTGTACTTTGACATAAGCAACTAGATTAAACATACAAAATTACCAGTTTTTTTTAGTAATTCAAAATGGCTGTATATTAGCAATTTCATATGGTTCAATATAATTGCTTTATGTCAAGGTGCAATAACATGGTTATACTGATCATAATAACCTTGGTAAAGAAAGAAAATAATATAATAATCTTGGGCCAGGCGCGGTGGCTCAAGCTTGTAATCCCAGCACTTTGGGAGGCCGAGGCGGGTGGATCACGAGGTCGAGAGATCGAGACCATCCTGGTCAACATGATGAAACCCCGTCTCTACTAAAAATACAAAAAATTAAAAATTGGCTGGGCATGGTGGCGCGTGCCTGTAATCCCAGCTACTCAGGAGGCTGAGGCAGGAGAATTGCCTGAACCCAGGAGGCGGAGGTCGCAGTGAGCCGAGATCGCGCCATTGCACTCCAGCCTGGGTAACAAGAGTGAAACTCCATCTCAAAAAAAAAATAATAATAATAATCTTAACAAGACATTTTACTAAAGTTTTCATGAGTAGTTATGTCTTGATTATTACATTTAAAAGTGACACGAAGTTGGTACTAATGGCTAATACACTGGCTGGCAGAATCAAGATTTCCTAAGTTGGAAAGAAGATACAAAATTACTAAGAACAAACTGAAAAAGATTTGCAATTCTGCACTTTAAAAAACTGGCACTATGTCCAGAAAAGCCAATGCATTAATTCCAACATAGAGATCTAGCTTTTAACAGTTCATGTGGATAAGACCTAGCTGAGTGCAAACCTAACAAATACGCCCCTGCTATAGCCAAAATGATCTAGTCTCCAAATACGTCACAGGCTCTCTTGCTTTGATCTCTGTCAACACTATTCTTTGAGCACCGGAATAATCACTTTTCCATCTCTTAGTCATTATATCCAAACTTCTAGGTCAATTTCAAATGTTACCACTTCCATGAAGACATCAACTCCTTCTACTAGCTGTATAACCTTTCTCTGAATTCCAAGTTCATGTCTTATTCAGGGTAATAAATACATTCTATTTTGTACCTAACTCCTTTTAGCTCTGTTAAACGGGTAGTACTGATAAAGGAAGAGTGATAAGAAGAATCTGTTATGTAGGAACACAGAAAAATAATCAAGGAGTTTCAAGTAAAATTCAGGAGAAACCATACATATGTCAACCAGACCGTGTGGAGCGAGAAAAATCAGGGAGAGAAAACAGGCAGAACTGTGCAATGCAATGGCTCATATGGGTGAGAAGAGTTCCATTACAACTCAAATTCTACATAAACATAAACACGAGTATATCTGTATCTTGTCTAATCTAAAATTAGTATACAGTGAAGAATACTGCACTAGTTATCAAGAGACCTAGTTCTTGCTCTGTGAAACAGAGCAGAACCTTATATAAGTCTCTGCTCTTCCCTAGACCTTCCATTCCTCACCCACAGAAGAAGCCTACTGGACAAAAATTAGCTTAGAAGTCTGCCAGAGATTCATCCCTTGCTTCGCACATACTTCCCTGCAACATACAGCCCCATTTTTAACTTTTACAACAATTTTTATTTGAAGATAAAAAGTTCCAAAAGGCTGGGTGCAGGGGCTCATGCCTATAGCACTTTGGGAGGCCATAAGTGGGAGGATCACCTGAGGTCAGGAGTTGAAGACCAGCCTGGCCAACACGGCTGAAACCCTGTCTCTACTACAAATACAAAAAATTAGCCATGCCTCATAGTGGCGCATGTCTGTAGCCCCAGCAACTCGGGAGGCTGAGGCATGAGAATCACTTGAACCTGGGAGGCAGAGGTTGCAGTGAGCCAAAATCGTACTGCTGCACTCCAGCCTGGGTGAGACTCCATCTCAAAAAAAAAGTTCCCAAGTAAAGAAAGTTGAAAGTTCAAAACTACTCCACAGATGATATCTAATCTCAGTCCCCTTACAGACCTTAAAACTGAGATTCTAATTTTTAAATTACAACATTTACCCCTATGTTTTGCAAGGCAGCAATAAAATCAAAATGCGTTTCAGTTCATGGATGGCATTACAATGATTGACTCAAATCCGACACTACAAAATGAAAGGACTACAGATGTGCAAGGGTATCATCTAGTTCAGTCATTTACTTATTAAAAAATAACAGTCTGACTGGGCACGGTGGCTCACGCCTGTAATCCTGGCACTTTGGGAGGCCGAGGCAGGCGGATCACAAAGTCAGAAGATCGAGAACATCCTGGCTAACATGGTGAAACCCCATTGCTACTAAAAATACGAAAAATTACCCAGGTGCTGTGGCATGCGCCTGTAGTCCCAGCTACTCAGGGAGGCTGAGGCAGGAGAATTGCTCGAAGTAGGAGGTGGAGAATGGAGTGAGCCAAGATCAAGCCATTGGGCTCCAGCCTGAGTGACAGAGCGAGACTACGTCTCAACACACACACACAGACACACACACACACACACACACTCTCTCTCTCTCTATCCTAGATACAGCATCTTAAACCTACATTTAATCTCATTAAAGGGACCTTCGTATTAAGTCTCCTTAATGCAAGAAAATCATCTAAATCATCTATCCCTGGTCTTTATTTTAGCTATTGTTTAAAATACATGTCACAAAAAAAGTATTTCTTATTTTGGGGACAGCTTCAATTATTATTTTTTTCTGGGACTCAAGATCTAATTTCCTAAAACCTTATTTTCTATCAGAGAGAGCATTTCTTTCTCTAGGGAAAAATATATACAAAAGCATTAGTTCTTATCAAATAAACTTAGTTTCACCTTCTGAAATTCAAACAAGATGGCAGAGGTCAAGGGTGCAGAGCAGAAAGTACAGCCAGTGGATATAAATCTAAAAATATACTGTTTAAGAAGACAAATTCTAAAATCTGTATAGTATGTCAAATACTTAAATACAACTTTCTATGCTTTTAAAAGATAATCCTTGGAATTTTACAAACCTGTGGATTATCCATGTACCACACGAAACTATCTTCTCTGGTATCCAGTATGAAGTACCTTCGAAGAAATTTCCCACTGTTTTCATTTTCTTCAATGTCTAGAAAACCACAAATGCGATTCTGGCGATCCACATAAGGCATTTCTAAGCTTGAACATTACACTGTAAAATAAAAATATTAACAGTAAGCTCCCTACGAAACAGAACTTGCCAACATTAGGTAGGGCCAATTAAAATAAACACAACATCAACATCTGAGGCACTGGCAAAAATTACTTCTGAAATTAAGTTTATGAATAGTGGTTACTACATTTAACTATCTACTTTGATGGGGACAATGGAGAGCTACTTCGCCTCAGTTGAATAATTTACCTATTTTTTGCCTTAAAAACCCCAGGTGAGCCAAAAAAAAAAAAAAAATAGCTATCCAAATTTTAATTTCCTCGAGATAATCTATCCTTTAGATTATTTTAGAATGTTTAAATTCACAAAACAACAACAGTTAACGTTTAGTGACCACCTGCTACATGCTAGGCTCTGTGCAAGGTTCTTTTCCCTGAATTATCTCTTCTAATCTGAACAATCCTGGGAGTAGCATCATCAACCCCAGCAGATAAGGAACTTATCACAGAAGGGAAGTGACTTTCCAAAATTCCAAAACTAGTAGGCCAAAAGTCAAAGCCTGAATCCAGACTACTACATTCTGGAGCTCTTATGCTCTACACCATCCTCTCTCTCTAAAAACCCTGAATTGTTAAAACTAAAGTGAATCAGATTAAACTTAGTCCACACACAGTGGAAAGAGAGATAAGCAGGTATGATGTGCCTCCTGGTGGAAGACACAAACATTTGGTAGCTGGATATACAGGGGATCTAAAAACCATTTTTTCCATAACAAGAAAAAATGGTTTTTAGATCCTCTCTATATCCAACTACCAATCTACAGGAGACACAGAACACAGAGGAACATGCTAAACTGCACTAAAGGAATTCAATCAGCAAAAGTCAGGCTATAAGAAACAAAAGAGCAAGAAAAACAGTTTCTTTAGCAAATAAATTATTACAGAAAAAAAGAAAAAGCGAGACATCATAGATTAAAATAGACTTAAAAGGTATATCACATTCTGGTCCTAAAGTACTACAACTTTTGTTATGCTGATTAAAGTTTAAAAACCATTAGGTGCCAAGCTTTGTTTCTCTAGAGACTACAGATAACATGATTCCTTCCTGTGTGATGCTTAGTCTAAATCTGCACCAGACAGCTGTTCCTATTCTGGTACATCTATAGCTGGCACCATTGTATCTTTTGGCAGGATGAATTTACATAACTAGTTCTTTATTTAGAGGCTCAAGGTAAATTTAACTTACAGTGAAAATTCCATTACAATGCACACTGATATACTATGTATCTGCATCACTATTCCATATGCAGTCGGAGAAATTACAAAACACACCAAAAAGTTTTAAATAAAACCATCCAATCAGTTTGTGCGTTATTATTGTTCTTATATATCTAACACTTTAAAGGAAATAATTTTTTAAATAAATTTACGATAAGTTTGTTAAAAAAAAGTTTACAATGTAATCAAAGCTTGAAAAATCAATATTCTATACTACAATATACTACAGGTAAAAGCTATCAACTTGCCATGAGAATCAACACAGATCAGTGGAAAAGAATTAAAAGAACAGAAACAAACCCATACATCTACAATCAACTGATTTCAACAAGGGTGCTAATACCATGCAATGTAGAGGGAAAAAGCCTCTTCAACAAATGGTGCTGGTACAACCGGATATCCACATATAGCAGAATGAAGCTGGACCCCTACCTCACACCACATACAAAACTTAACTCAAAATGGATTAACAATCTAAGAACTAGAAAACTTTTAGAAGAAAATATAGAGTAAATTTTACATTTGGTATTGGCAATGAATTCTTAGATATAGTACCAAAAGCATGAGTAACAACAAAAATAAGATAAACTGGACTTCATCAAAATTTAAAACTTTTTTTACATCAAAGGATATCAAGACAGTCAAAAGAAAATCCATAGGAGGAAAGAAAATATTTGCAAACTATGTATCTGACAAGGGTCTAGTATCCAGAATATATAAATAACTTTTAGAATTCAAAAAGAAAAACCAGTCCAAGTTTAAAATGAGCAAATGTCTTGAAGAGCCATTTATCCAAAGAAGATAAATAGCCAATAAGAACATTAAAAGATGCTGAATATCAGTCATTAGGGATATCCAAATAAAAACCACAATGAGATAAAACTTCACTTCCACTAGGACAGCTAATTAAAGGAGAGGAAAATAACAAGTGTTGGCAAGGACATGGAGAAACTGGAACCCTCCTACATTGCTGGTGGGAATGTAAAATGGTACAACAGCTGTGTAAAACAGTTTGGCAATTCTTCAAGAGTTAAACATAGAATTACCATATGACCCAGCAATTCTACTCCTAGGTACACACACACCTCATTTTACTGTGCCTCATTTTATTGTTCTTCACAGATATTGGGGTTTTTACAAATTGAAGGTTTGTGGCAACCCTGCCATGGCCAGATCAGAGCTCAATGAAGCCTTGAACTACTGGGCTCAAGAAATCCTCCTGCCACAGCCTACCAAATAGGCAGAAGGACTACATGCACATACCACCACACCCAGCTAACTTTTTTTATTTTTTGTAAAGACAGGATCTCATTATGGTGCCCAGGCTAGTCTTGAGCTCCTGGCCTCAAGCGATCCTCTTGCCTCATCCTCCCAAAGTGCTGGGATTACAGGCATGAGCCACCATGCCCAGCCAAGTATCTCACCTTAAACCAAAAGTCAGAAATGATTAAGCTTAGTAAGTCATGTCAAAAGCTGAGACAGACCAAAAGTGAGGCTTCCTGCACCAAACAGCCAAGTTATGAATGCAAAGGTAAAGTTTTTGAAGGAAATTAAAAGTGCAACTTCAGTGAACACAAGAACAAGTGAAAGAGCTTTATTGCTGATATGAAGAATGCTTTAGTGGTCTGGACAGAACATGAAATTAGCCACAGTCTTCCCCTTAGGTCAAAACCTAACCCAAAGAAAGGTTTTCTTCAGTTATTTGAAGGCTAAGAGAGGTGAAGAAGCTGTAGGAAAAAGAGCTGAAAGCTAGCAGAAGTTGGTTCATGACTTTTAAAGAAAGAAGGCACCTCTATAACATAAAAGTGCAAGGTGAAGCAGCAAGTGCTGACGTAGAAGCTTCCACAAGTTATCCGAAAGATGCAGCTGAGATCAAGAAGGTGGCTACGCTAAAGAGATTTTCAATGTATGTGAAAATATTCTATTGGAAGACACCATCTAGGACAGGCGTCTCCAAACTACGGCCCGCGGGCCACATGCGGCCCCCTGAGGCCATTTATCCGGCCCCCCACCGCACTTCCGGAAAGGGCACCTCTTTCATTGGTGGTCAGTGAGAGGAGCACAGTATGTGGCGGCCCTCCAACGGTCTGAAGGACAGTGAACTGTCCCCCTGTGTAAAAAGTTTGGGGACGCCTGGTCTACAGTATAAAGATCGTTTTTACATATGCACTGAGAAACCAGAAAATTAGTGTAACTCATTTTATCATAACATTTATCTTATTGCCATGAATAGGAACTGAACCCACAATATCTCTGAGATTTGCCTACAGATATTCAGAATTGAACACAGGTAGTCAAACCCTTGTATATGAAATGTTTACAGCAACACTATTCACAAATTGCCAAAAGGTGGAAACAACCCCAACATTTATCAGTGGGTGAATGGATAAATAAAATGTGGCATATACATACAACCGAATATTGCTCAGACATAAAAAAGAATGAAATTCTGATACATGCCCTGGATAAACCTTGAAAACATTATGCTAAGTGAAAAAAGCCAGCAACAAAAAGGTACATGTTGTATGATTCTATTTCTATGAAAGATCCAAAACAGATAAATCCTGAGAGACAGAGGGGCTGGAGAGAGGGGGAAATGCGTAAGAGCTGCTTAATGGTTGATGAAAACATTTTGACAGTAGATACAGGTGATAGTTGCACAACACTGACACTGTGAAAGTATGAAATGTCACTGGGGCCAAACATAGCAGCTCACGCCTGTAATCCCAACATTTTGGGAGGCAAGGCGAGTGGATCACAAGGTCAGAAGTTCAAGACCAGCCTGGGCAACATGATGAAACACTATCTCTACTAAAAACTACAAAAAAATTAGCTAGGTGTGGTGGCAGGCACCTGTAATACCAGCTACTCAGAAGGCTGAGGAAGGAGAATTGCTTGATCCCAGGTGGTAGAGGTTGCAATAAGCCAAGATCACACCACTGCACTCCAGCCTGGGTGACAGAGTATGACTCCATCTCAAAAAAAAAAAAAAAGTCATTGAGTTGTACACATTAAAATGGGCAATCTTGTGATAATTTCACCTCGACTAAAAAAATTAAAGGATGGTGTAATGCTACTTACTAAGCAGTTTCTACAATGACTATCCCAATATATTTATCTTACTTCTGCTTAAAAAGTAGAGCAGATAAATTATCTACTTGAAATAACTCAGTTTTAGAATGCTCACTCTAGAAGTCAGCTGTCATATAGAAAATTTAACTGCCTTAAGACTGCCCTGTTGTGTGAAAGCCAACTAGTCCCATGAATAAGCTAGTGGAGAGAGGTGGCCAGCCCACACCCAGCTGTTCCAGCCATTCCAGCAGAGTGAGCAAAGAGGCTATCTTGACCATCCAGCCCAGTCAAGACTTCAGATGACTCTTGTTCCAACTGCCATCTGACTGCAACTACAAAAGAAAGACCCCAAGAGGGAACGGCTCAAATGAGCTCCTTCAAACCAGAGAATAGTGAAAACTAATGAACTGTTTTTTTTAAGCACAGAAAAGCCCTCAGGCATATATCATATAAATACAATATACAGAGCATTCAAGAATTCTATAAACAAATATGTCAAAATTTTCATTGGTTTTTAGTGCTATAGATGAAACTATCACTTGAATAACTATTTGAAAATTAAAATACACTTTTAAATAACATATAAGTAAAAGAAGAAATCAAAAAGGAAATCAAAAAACATTCTTAACTAAATGAAAATTTTAAAAAGTCAAAATTTGTGGTACGCAGCTAAAAGTGATTTTAGAGGGA